GAGTGAGATCATGTGATATTTGTCTTTCTCTGACTTATTTCATTTAGCATAATGCTCTATCTCTTTTTTCAACATCCTGTAGTTTTCTGAGTACAGGTCTTTCACCTCCTTAGTTTATTCCTAGGTAACTTAATTTTTTTTTTTTTTTGTTGCAATGGTAAATGGGATTGCTTTTTTAACTTCTCTTTAAGTTCATTATTGGTGTATAAAAAAGCCATAGATTTCTGAGTGTTAATTTTGTATCCTGCTACATTGCCAAATTCATTTATTAAGTTTAATAGTTTTTTGATGGTGTCTTTAGGGCTTTCTATCTACAGTATCATGTCACCTGCCAATAATGTATGTCATTTATTTCTGCTCTAATATTTCCTTCCTCCTACTCTCTGGGCTTGTTCTGTTTCTGGTTCTTTTAGGTGTAGGGTTAGATTGTTGGAGACTTTCTTGTTTCTTGAGGTAGACCTGTCATGTGATGAACGTCCTTTTCAGGACTTTCGCTGAGCCTCATAGATTTTAGGTTGTGTGTTCTTTGCTAGACTACAACTAATCAACTATAAATGACCGGTAGTCCCAGAACACTTGCTGAATTATAAGAACAACTTTATGATTGTTTTATCCGTGAAAAGCACAGGGTACCCATCAGGAGTGAGAAAACAAGGCTGCTTCCCACCACGCTAACTTCTAGAGGCTAATCCGGGGGAGGGGCTCAGCCCAGGGAACTGACATCTACACCGGAGTCCTCTAACCACAGCCCCACAGGACACATAACACGCCGAGGACACCCTACTGATGGGATAAAACCAGCTTTGTCAGCGAGGACACCGGTGGCTCTTCCAGACCGGCCTTAAGTGTTCCAACATGCGTTCGCATTTTCAGTGTCCTCATTTCATTATGTAAATCACAACGGCCAGTCTCCCCAGCAGCTGGGAGCACAAAAGGTCAGACCACAGCTGTCCACACCGCCACAGCCTCTCCTCAGAGCAGCCTTCCCCCAGACAGGGGTCACCACACTGACCCGCCTCACAGACGTGGGAGCAACTAACTAACAATCATTAAAACGTTAAAGCACTTTGCAAATGTGAAAGTGCGAGTTTGGCTTTTGTAGAACCAGGAAACATTCAGGGCTTGTGCTACTTGGCAGTTCTGCACTCACACCTCTCTCTGCCTGTGCCCTCCGTGTGTGAAGCCTGGAGCTTTCTCCTGTGCCTTCGTGTTAAATTAAAAAAAAAAAAGTTTCTACTCAGACCAGGGCCCAGGTCAATAGGAGTGAAGGTGGGGGTCCCATGAGCTCCCCCATCACTATCAGGGGTGGGGGGTACACAGATATAAAGCAAATGAGACCAAGGAGCCTCCTCCCAACATGTGAATTTTGCAAAGCTCTTGAGCCGGCTGACCTTTGTAGCAGGTCACAGGGCCACTGGATGGCCTGAGGTTCACGTGACATAAGCCCCCAGCTGAGCAGGGAAAGGGAAAGCCGCCCAGAGCCGGGATGGCCCCCTGTCCCCGCAGGGAGGTCACAGGGGAGGCCTGAGTGAAACACGAGCCAGGCACACACCTGGCCCTGGGGCAGGGCCTGCTCCCCCACAGACCAGCCTGGCCCAGCGGAAACCAGGACGGTTCAGAGGAAGCAGCAAAGAACCAGATTGCCTAGATCTGGAAACCAGCTATGAAGGAAGGTCTGAGTTTCATCTTGGAAGTGAGGGTGTGCAGCCTTTCTGCCCGGCTTCCCCCAGAGGCCTCCAAATAGCAGCTAACTGTGGCTCAGAGAGGAGAGCATGGGGTCTATCCTCTAGCAGTGTTTCCCAAACTTTTGACATGTGTATCCCTTCTATAATTTTCGTAACGCTGAGTACCCCTCGTACTCATGAGAATGTAGAATTAGGCGCAGCTAAGCACGGTGCAGTGCATATCCCCACCAAACTCCGGTGCAACGCGTACCCCCACCAAACTCTTCCTGTACCCCTGGGGGTGCGCGTACCACACTTTGGGAAACCCTGTGGGATGTCAAGGCTCCTCTGCTTTTCGTGGGACTCCAGCTGAAGTGGGGGGGGGGGGGGCAGGACAGTGGCTTAACATTGACGGGGCCAGGATAATTATTCACACCTGCCTTTTATTTTACCCCTTGACCCTCACTCCAACCACACCCTCCCGATCCCCACAGAACATCACACCCCAACCTACTCAAAGCCTGCCACCCTGTTCCCTCCCCAACCCCGAACCCCATTTCCTCACCTTAGGGTCCTCAAAGTGCCTGCTCATTCTAGATGGGTTTGCATTTTTACTTTATATAAATGGAACTGTACCCTCTCATGTTTGCATTCCCTCATGTAGCATGATTTTTAATCCTCATCTGAGGTTATTTTTTCCACTGGCTTTAGGGAGAGTGGGAGACAGGAGGCAGAGATACCCACATTGATTGGTTGCCTCCTGCACACACCTGGACAGGGGCCAGGAACCTGCAACCTAGGTATATGCTCTTGACCAGGAATTGGGATCCACAGGCTGACTAACCACTGAGCAACCTGCCAGGGCATTTTTGATGTCCTCGCTGACAAAACTGGTCTGTTACCTAAGTACAGTGTCTTTGGTATGTTACCTTTCTACTAGTGGCTGTAGTTAGAGGATTCTTCCATAGCATGATTTTAAAATCCATCCATCTTACTACACACATATTATACATCCATACTCTATACCAACACTTCATACCATCTTATTGCTGAGTAGCATTCCTTCATATGGATGTGTTGTGCATATATATATATGTGTGTGTGTATACACACACACACACACACACACAAACACACACACATTTTAATAGACATCTGAGTAGTTTCCAGGTTTTGGCTATTATTGATATTCAATTACAGATTGTTATGTGAGCATACTGAATAAATACTTGGGAGTAGAAGGGCCAGTGAGTTTTGTGATTCAGCTTTTCAAAGTGCTTGTACCATTGTTCATACCATAAGTGGAGGAGACCTCTAATTGCTTCATATCCTCAGCACACTCAGTGGACTTTTCAGGTTATCTTAGCCATGGTAATGAGCATGTAATGTAACTCACTACAGTATTCCTTTGTTTCCCTGAGGACTGAGTTAAGCATCTTTTCATGGGCTTTTTGGTAATTTATGTATTTTCTTTTGACCAATTTTAATAACGCATTCTTATCCGTACACTGAAAATCACAAAATACTACTTTAAAGAACTAAATAGATAAAACTTCTTGTGGATTGGAAGACTCAATATGGTTTAGATGTCAATACTTTCAAAATTGATCAAAAGATCTAACACAATTCAAAATTTCAGCAGGTATTTGGTATTTATAAGCTAATTCTAAAATTGACATGGCCATGGCTTGTGTGGCTCAGCTGGTTGAGTGCTGACCCATGCACCGAAAGATCGCTGGTTCGATTCCTGGTCAGGCATATATTCAGGTTTTGGGTTCAATCCCATCAGGTGTGCCCAGGAGGCAGCCGATGGATGTTTCTCTGATTTAATCAGCACAAACAGAGAAATACAAATGATCTTGAATTATCAAAGCAACTTTATGGCACTATTTTTACAAGTTTCATTATTTTTTATCCCCCCAAAATACATATAAATGGAAACCTGTTCTTCAAATGCAGGAAGAGGCAGTTGTCTATAAATTAATATTACATCATAAAATATTCTGATATAAAAATCAATATGCAGCTCTTACCATATATATACAAACAATATATATACATACATTTGTAAGTAGTTATGAACTTTCTACTTACACATGTTCCTTCAGTAGAAAGTTAGAAAACTGGGCAAGTCCCATGCTTTCCAGCCTTGGGAAGATAAATACAACCTCTCTGAATGTTTTTTTAAAGATGAAACATGTAAATGACACAACTTAGACAGGTACATATTAAAGAAGGGACACTGCCACATAAATGATAGTATGTTTCTCGAAGAGATAACATTTGAATAAAAATGCAAAGTTGACCAGATGACTGACACTTATGTACACGCTCCATGGGGAAACCAGAATTTTCTCACTAGAAACTGATCCACACCCATCCCAGCCTCCTGTGACGCCAGCACTCGCTGGCAGCAGTCTCCATCTTCCTGTCTAGTCACCTGCCTAAGCAGGCTTCATACGGCATCTGTTTAAGTCCAACAGTCAATAATAAGGGCAAATGAGAAATCCCCATTCTCCCAAAAAGAAGAGTAAAATCTACTTCTGTGACTCTAGAGTTCAAACAGGTCAAAGCTCTGATGAAGGCCATTTGTCAATTTCTTTCCCTAAGCCCCAACCCCCTGGCATGGAGACACACATTATACATACAGGGCACCGATCACCCAGAAGCCCAGCCAGGCGTCTCAGCTCAACTGCACTTTAGTTAGAAACAACTAATTTATTAAGAGAAGGATAAGCAATTAGCAGTTTAACACATTGCGGACGGGTCACATGAATTCTTTAAAAAGATATTAGCTTGTAAGAACATGTAATAACTAACTTCAAAATGCAATGGGTATTTAATTTTAAAGTGGGCCTTTGTTATGTAAAACGTAACTCATCTGGCCACTGGGTAAAGCTATCAATAAAACTTCTGGTCTGCAATGTGTTAAGGAGGCTGTTCTAGATCGTTTCCACGGTCCTTCAGCTCCCCATGACTCTGCATTGGTGGGCAGAGGATATTCAACTGTGCACAAATCTGCCGGGGCAGAAGTAAGATAATCTTGAAATGTTAATTTCAACTCTAGGGAAACACACACCGAGTTACAAAATGTCTTTGCTTTCTGCTAGAATATAAGGGAGCAACTCCTGAAAGGCCCATTCTTCGAGGCGCAGAAGATTTCAAACTGCTCATCGGCCAAGTCCAAGAACTGGAGCCCACAGGCAAAAGCAGGGCCACATCCTGGGGTCCTCGGCAGTCGGTAGGCCATTTGGCTCCTGTAAGTTGATTTGGCCTCTAGTGCTGCTTAGTTTCCAAGTCCTTTTTAAAAAGTAGAAAAAGCACCACATTTCAGTTCTAGGTCAGTGTTAAAATCAGCTTCTCCCTCTTTTTCCTCTTCCTCTTCTTCTCTTCCAAGTGGCTGGTCGCATCAGCGAAAAACATCACTTCACTTTTTGCCTCGCACTCCCTCTTGAGGTAGTTCAGACCCGCCAGGTTGAAGCCGATGACATCCTGGGCGGAAGACGAGAATGGTGAGACTTTTCTCCCCTGAGCTCAGCACCTTCAGTATCAGCATGTGAGTCGGGCCAGCGAGCCTCAGACCTTGATTTCCTATTCCTACCGGCTCCCCCGCCAAGCTAACCCCAATACAGACCATGTCTGCTCAATACCGCCCTGGACAGGCACAGCGCCCGGGACTACTTCTAAGTCACACCCCAGAGCCACCCCTCGCTGCTGGAGCTCCACAGACACACTTACCCGGACTTGGCTGACTTTTGAAATAGTTGTCTCCTTTAATTTTTCAATCACTGGCACAAGCATTTGGTTGCTAGTGATCTGCCCAAAGTGAATCCTAACAGAGGAAGAAAACAGCCATATTTTGAAGAGGGATAGTGGGCTGGCTCTACTTAACCCTTCCACAAACAGCAAATAGACACAACAGCAAAGCAAACACACTTTTCACGGCATCATGGGAATATAGAGACATTTCTAGTAAAAAAGTGAAAGGAATTTCTTCCCTACTATTCAGTTCTATCTGATAACAATTTGAAGACTCGGTCCCAGACCCTCTCACAGGTTCAAACTCAGGCCTGGAACCCGGACACCCTTGATGAGCACACTCACCGGCGCCTTCGACTGTGACCTGCCATCTCCACCAGGGAGGTAAGTGGTACCACCTACAACCTGGGTATGGCTGGCATTCAGGGTGTTTCTCTCAGAAAGAGTGATCCTGATTCCTCAGCACATCCGCCACAGCAACAAGACATTTTTAGAAATACTGTTGAGTCCTTACAACTTGCCCCAAATTCTAAATATGACAACAGAATAATGTAAATATATTCTTCTTTCCCCAGTATCCAAATAGAAAAAGAATGGAGGGCTAAGAATCATGAAAACAGGCCAATTCACCAACTTCACTAAACATACCTGTTTCTTTGAACTACTTGGTATTGGCTGACCAGTTTTTGTCCTCCTAACAGCATTTTAAGGAATATCCAATTTGTCTCCCTCCATGTTCTCTATCCTAACAGTTCGAAACAGAGGGGCAGAGGAGAAGACAGAATAATACATTCTTAAGCCTTTGTAAACAGTCCTCTCAATTACACATGAAAAATAATTCCTCATATTTGAGAATATAACCTAATGACCATATTTCCAATTTAGTTTCCTTTATGTATGTGATTCTTTTGCATCTATACCTACACAGACCTGGAAAATAAACCCATTATTCCTGAAAAGGCTGTAGGAGGACAAGACAAAACCATTAAGTTTAACCAGTGGTCGGCAAACTCATTAGTCAACAGAGCCAAATATCAACAGTACAACGACTGACATTTCTTTTGAGAGCCCAAAACCAGCTTCTGCACCTGGGCCACAAAGTTTCAATCGCACTGTACATGCGCGCCTACACTGGTATTTTGTGGAAGAGCCACGTTCAAGGGGCCAAAGAGCTACATGTGGCTCACGAGCTGCAGTTTGCCGACCACTGACTTCAATGAGGCAACCTGATTAGTCCCAGGCTGTTGGACTGCAGCCCGACGAAGCATTCTGAGCAGCGTTAACCTCATAAAGCACTTGTTTTAAGGGCAAACTGGTTCTGACTATTCCCAAGGACAAGGAGTAATGCACACCAGGTAGCACTGAGGTTCTGTAACAGTCCCTGAAACCAAAACATCCAGGTTCTTCACCCAGAGGTGGTGATGGCTTTAGTTAAGGTTTACTGGAGCAGCTGTGCTGAACAGACAGGGTCTGCCCTGGAAAGGGAGTTACCTGAGGAGGAAGAAGAGGCACCTGCACAGAAGTTCAACGTCAGAGCCCAGCTGGATGAACTCGTTGAAGAGTTTCAGGATGTCGGGGACGTAGGAGAAGGGCAGCACCAGGAGCGACTCCTCCAGCTCACTGAGGAAGGAAGCGTCACATTCCTTAGCGCAGCCATCTGAAATCTTTCCTCGCCGGTTTTCCTACTGCTTTTATTTAATAGACCTTACCTATTTAAATTCAATATTCTAGACGACTCTCTTTTTTCGAGATTTTGTTTTTTATATTTAATAGTTTAACCTATTGGATGCACTTTATTCTTCTAGAAACCAATTTCTCCAAAGCCTATAGTTGACTATTCCATCTTTTTATGACACTTCTCTTACCGTTTATTGAGTCCTTTAGTCTGAGGCCCTCTGAGTCTGTTTAGATGATCAATTGATCCTGACAACAACCCTATACTATTTAAATTTTTGCCAATTTACAGGTTTTATTGTTTTGTTTTTAAATCTAGGGAAATAGGCCTCCCTCCCCCCCCTTGTTGCTCTGGCTTCATTTGTTTTACCTTTCTTGAACTAATTCTAGCATTATTTCAGCAATCCCAAGAGGATTTCAAGTGGAATCACAAAACTGTAAGTTAAAAACAAAACCTTGAAAACACAGCCTCTTCCCGCCTGGGACTGCACTGCCTCTCCAGGGATCTGAGCTCCCGCTACATGTCTCTAGTGCAGGCTCCCCTTACCCAGGTGGCTCCTGTTTACTACTTGTATGGGACACTTTTAGACACTGTCGCTCAAGCTCACAAATAAAATTAAAAGGGAAATTACAGATAAACTTCCAAAAATAGACAACAAAAGACATAGAAATTATTAAAAACTAGTAAGGGCTAACAAATATAACATTTTAACTTCATCAATAATCAGGAGATAAAAATCACCTTCAGAAAAATTATGACAGATTTCTATGTAAAGGTGTTCACTGAAGCAAATTGATAATAGCAAACTTCAGTAGTAATTATTTGTATAATGGAATATTTTGAACTAAATCAATGATTTGTTTTTGAAGAACAAGAATATTGGTAAACACTCAATATTCTGTGAAAAAGGACAGGATACAAAATTGTACACAAGATGGTTCTAACTATTTATGTGCACAGGAAAGAAACACACTACAAAAAAATGTTAACTGCTGCTGCAACTGAATTATACAGATCAAGCATGTCAAACTCAAAGGCTATCACAGGCCAAAATATGAGGCACACGGCCCATGTTTGACATAGATGATTTCATTACCTACAATATAAAGTAATACTACCCTTCATTTGTCCTTAAAAGTAGAGCCTTACCTCTACTTCAAAAAGATTACAGTAAATTACTTCCCATCAAATTTTGACAGTTAACCATCAACTGTAATTTCTCCTTAGCTGAGCACTGATAATAACTGTGCCCTGAGACGCACCTTGACTTGATTCCTTTAAAAATCTCCAACACGTAAGCTGAAGGCTGCAAAGGAAGGACAAAGCATTAGCGACAGTTCTGACTGGTTTCTACTGAATCTCTAGTTTCCTAAAACCCAGGATCCCCTCACATGAGACAGTGTACTGAAATGGCAAGACATGCATGGACCGAATGTTACTCAAAGTCAGGCCAGTTTCCTGTCTGTAAAAGGAAGATGCCCTGACCCACAGGATTGTTGTGAGGAGACATGCAAGTCAAATTCTAAGGAACTAGACATTGTTGGTAGCTTGCACTGTACATTACTCTCCCTCTCTCCTGTATCTGATTTATGCCAACTTTTCCTCCTACACCTTTAATTTCAAAGTTCATTTAGATCAGTGGTTAGCAAACTCATTAGTCAACAGAGCAAAATATCAATAGTACGACGACTGAAATTCCTTTTGAGAGCAAAACTTTTTAAACTTAAACTATATAGGTAGGTACATTGTTATTAATTAGGGTGCTCCTAAGCTGGCCTTTGCTAAAAACTCAAGGGGCCAAAGAGCCGCATGTGGCTCCCGAGCTGCAGTTCGCTGACCACTGATTTAGATGAACAGAATCTTCAGAGGGCTTTGGACAGGAAATATGAATAAGAACTAGAAATCTGAAGAATGCCAGTCCAACCAGAAAGGATGACCTGGAAGTTACACTAAACCGGTCCTTTACAAATTCTAAATAATAGAGGACACCACTCTTCAGGAGAGATTTTTAACGACTAAGTATTACCCCTCCCCTCACCCCTGAGAGTAACCTCTGACTGACGAGGGGGAGACTTAGACGTTATACTCACAGAAATATTGCCATGAGCCATCAGGATGGGGTTGGTGGGGAGAGGAACCTAAGAAGAAAATAATTAAATCCAGTCATTAAAAATGAGACTTTGATGGTGCTTGTCGCAGGCAGGGACATAATGGTATTTACATTTTTAGAAGAGAAAACAGCGACCCTAAAAATTGAAAGACTTGAGTGTAATGAAGCATCAGGCCTTTCAGTTTATAGAGCTTACGAGTGAGTTTGGGCAACAGGCTTCCCCAGAAATCTGACCTGGGTGCCCTGCCTCTGAACCTAGAGTAAGAGGTAAGTGTCTACCCAATACCATATCTCACTCTGCTCTCCTTTCCATTAAGACCAAGCTTCCCCCACCGTCCCTTCCTCAATTCGCTCTAATGTTTGAGTGAGAATGAATTCTATTATATTTCTCTCAGTTCTGACCTGAGTTATTAAGTCCTGCACAATGGTTTTCCTCTCAGGAATTCTCTACCTACAAGTGTCTCCCAGAGCGTAACGTAATGGGCATCTTACCTCTTTCCCTGCAGCTTTACAAATGGCTTTGTGTTCTTTCATTTTTGCACTTTCTTCTCTGTATAGTTCCACAGCCTCCATGATCCTCTCAGCCTACAGACATGAGGACAAAGGACACATTCACCATGGACGTCAGAAGTCACCAGGACCCACTCATTCACCCCAGAGCACTGCACCTGGAGGGCCTGCCCGGTTTAATAAAGATGTGCCAACCGAGTGGCAAACTGCATGGAAAGGCATCTCTGGTTTTTATTTCTAGGGAGGGACTGAGTGTTCGGGACTCTGGTAAGAATGGAGCTGGACACCTGGGTAGGGCAGCTCCCAGGGACGGCTGAAAGGCGCTCCTTTCAGGAGACCACGCTTTCTTTCTAGAAAGCAAACAAGTTTTGATCTCCCTATAAATTTAATCAAATCTTCATTCATTTCCCCCTCCCACAAAAGACTATTTGGTTGATAAAGACTTTTACAACAAAGTCTAGATCCTATGAAAAAAATGAGGTACTTCATTCTGTATCAACTTACTGCTTTGACTGTTTCAATAGTTTTCTTTCCAGTAAAGTAATTTTCTCCTTGAGTCTCCCCTGGAACCTGCCAGAAAACAAAGAGATCCTTGAATAACACTGCTGACAAGCATTAAAGAGCCAGTACGTTACCCTACTATCCCTAAAAGAACAGGCACGATGATTTCATAACAACAACACTGGTCATCAGCTGCCACTCACTGAGGACTGAGACAGAGCCAGACACCATGATGAGTATTTTACATGGACTATAAGAATATCTTCCTCTCTACAAATGTTTTAAAATTTTTTTCTCAATTTCTAATTTTCCCCGATTTTAATTTTTGATCTAGTGAGATAATTCCCTGAAGTCTCCTTAAAAAAGCCAGAATAGAGTTGACTGAAAGGACTACTCAAGAGTCTGTCTTACCTCAGCTGGTGATGACCTCAGCATCTGGCCCCAATTCCAATTCCCTCAGAATTTCTTGAAATTAGGTTAAATTCCAGTAAGACAATTATAGGCACAGTCCCAGGATCCCGTTTACTTACTGCTGGTTGGTCTTCTTTGGCCACACTCTCCTCATATTCTGCTTCCCTTTGCTGCAAGAGACAGAGAGAAATTAATGTGAAGGAAAAGCACGGTCTCTCTGCAGAGTGAAATGAGGGGACAGCGAGGGGCTGCTGCTTTAAGGCCCATCACTGTGGCTTCGTCTCTGCCTGGCTGCTGAACGGTGGCAGTCGTCTTGGGAACACCCCCATATCGGGCGGTCCTTGGACTTGCACTGCCCGAGGGGCAACTGCACCAGAGAACTGGGATGGGGACACTGTAACCAAGCCTAAGTCCTTACCATTTCCCTCTCCTCCTCAAGAATAAGAGGCTCCCTTGTTCTCTCCCAAAGTCTCAGAGATTTGTCATGGGATGACGACACGACGTAGTCTCCATTGGGGCTTACAGCCAAGCACCATATCTCCTGGTGGTGCCCCTGGAGAGAGGAAAAACAAACCCAAACCGGAGTCAGGATGTTATTCACCGACTGCTACCTGCTCACATTAGGGGAGCAAGCACGCAGGGGGTTACCTCCAGAGTCTGTATGTGCTCAAAATTGTCCGCGTCCCACTGCTTGATCTTCCGGTCCTTCCCGGCGGTGAAAAAGAGGTGAGACTTGGGGACAAACTGTAGGTACATCACACTGAAAGGCGAGAAGAGTATTCGAATGTCATCCGAGTCCAGGTTATTGAAAGTCTTACAGCCCTAGCTAGTATGGCTCAGTGGATAGAGGCTTGGCCTGAGAACTAAAGGGTCCTGGGTTCAATTCCAGTTAAGGGCACATGCCTGTGTTGCAGGCTCGATCCCCAGTAAAGGCAGCCCATTAATGATTCTCCTCATTGATGTTTCTATCTCTCTCTCCCCCTCTCCCTTCCCCTCTGAAATCAATAAAAAATATATGTACATTTAAAAAAGTCTATATAGCAACCATCCTTTTCTTGGGGTTGCGCTACCCTCCAATGAACGTGTAGTGAGGGCAGTACTGCTAAAAAAGTCTATATACATCAATAGCTTTTGAATAGCTAGTTCTAGTGCCTTATTTATACTTGAGAATTTTAAATGTATGATGATCTGAGAAGTAAATATAGACACATGCTCAAGGGAATGGCACAGGGACACAAAGGGAGGTCTCTGAAGGCTGCGCCCACCTGTCATCGTGTGCGAAGAGAGACTTGTGGCAGTCCCCGAAGTCCAAACCCCAGATTTTCACATTCCTGTCGGCAGAGCCGGTTGCTATCAGTGTTCCGTCCTACGAGGAAGAGAGGAAACATATGGCTTCAACTTGATCATTCAACTCCCTGTAAAGTAGAGAAGACAAGCTACCAGGACATTTAACCCATTCTCTCCAAAACATGAAAATCGACACCATTTCTCTACAAGAGCACCTATTTTGTATTTTGTCACAAATCTACTTAAAAGCTTCTTAAGCAAAAGCTTCAATGTTTCTGCACGGCAACAGGGTCCTGCTGTGCTTTGATGAAGATTGTCTTTTGACCTGTTAAGTGGGGAGGAAAAAGAATCATCTGCTACAGAATATGGGCGAAGAGAAGGAGAGAGAAGGAAAGAATCTACTAGAATGCTGTCACCTAGCCTTTTATCCCATATTCCCTCTCATATGTCTCTCCTTTTTCTATTTCAATGCCTAGTTCAAATGGCTGTAACAAGAAAATCGGAAATATTTTTCAGCACCAACTTGCTCTGTTAGTGTGCTGATCACTCAAGCACAGGCCCACGCCTTTCATACTGACCGGATGTTTTTAAGTATATATTGCCATGCCCAATCACAACTAGACATTGCAGACAGGATTTTGGTGGAGACTAAAAGGTTGCAGAGTAGAAAATACAGTGGATATCCACATGGAAAGCTAAGGCCCATCTTCCTTACCTGCTTACAAAGCAGAGGGGGTGCCTTTTAAAAATCTTCCATATGTTAGGGTGCTCTATCAATTATAGTATTTTATACAAAATATTATTTGAGGAATCTGCAACAGGGAGCTAATTATGAGAATTTGTGAAAGTATTATGAAAGCATTAAAGTAACGTATTATATATACACAAGAAGTATGATTAAAATATATACTACTTTGCTTTTGAGTGTGGAGGAAGATATACAACAGAATGAAATAATATTCTAAAATGACCCATCAAGCCAAGAACTAAGAAAATGCTTTAGAAAAATAACTTATTACTGAGATACTATTTAAACTTTACTTACATAAGAGATGTCCATGCATATAACAGGCAGTTTGTGTCCATACAGTGAGAGGAAAAACTAAATATAAAAAAAACAAATATTTCATGTTTGTCTATAAAATACAGGCATAATTTAGTACATGTCAATCTAAACTATAACCCCAAAACCCAATGCTAACACTGTCTGGGTCGCCTTAAGTGTTTTTCTCAAAAGCGAACCACTGACGGCAGCCTGCACCCACCTTGCTTCAGACCCAGCATGCCGTTGCCAAGGACACGGCAGCCCAGTGGAGCAGGAGGGCCCGGAAGCCTCCTGCCTCCCTTGAACCCAGCGGAGATGATCTCAGGATCTCTCAGCTGAAGACCCTGGGGCACCAGGTTCAATGGAGCCCTGTGGGTAGGGCCCTGTAAACCGTATTGTTAAAGCAACACAAAGATCCACTGTAAAGCCAAGTGTGGAATCCTTCCCAGACACCCTGCGATGCCCTTGAAACTCCTGCAAAGGACAGGATTTTCTGAACATATGCAATATAAATTGCTTTAAACAAAAGTTATAAACCAAAGGATTCTTTTAAAACTCTGGCTTTCCCAGGGCACCTACAGTGTTTGATCCACATATAAGTTTTTAGAAATATGCTCCTGTTGGGCAGTCAAGGCCACTTCTTCTTTTTAAAATATATTTTTATTGATTTCAGAGAGAAAAGGAGAGGGAGAGAGAGATAAACATCAATGATGAGAATCACTGATAGGCTGCCTCCTGCACACGCCTCCCACCCCCACTGGGGTGAGAGCCTGCAACCCAGGCATGTGCCCTGACTGGGATCGAACCGTGACCTCCTGGTTCATAGGTTGACACTCAACCACTGAGCAACACTGGCCGAGCACAAGTGTTTACACTCTCCACCCAGGCCAGTCAGAAAACAAGGAAGGCATGACCACGGTACCTTTAAGGTGTCGACATAGAAAATCTTCACAGTGCAGTCCAGCAAAGACACAGCCAGCAGGTTCTGATTGGGCGAGTACCTGAGACTCAGAACGTCTTCATCCAGCTGCAGGATTCGGGTTTGCCTCACAGAAAGCCTAGCATCACAGAAATCACCAAGAAATAAACAATGAGTACCTTACAAAGACATGAAAATACCAAAAACTCTGGAGCTCAACAGAAATACTCAAGAAAGTCCATTCAGTGAGTCCCCACTTTCAGTCCAAGAAATGGAGGAAAATAAAAAACGTCTACTCACCTCTTCTGGCTACTGTTTTCATCTTTCACCAGCTCAAAATCCCAGAACTTGACAGACTTATCTGCACCACCTGTCACAAAGCCACGCTGAAAACCAAATGACATCCCAATTAAAAAGAATTTTAGCCCAGACACCTGGATAAGATATCAAAATAGTATAAAGACCATTTGTCTTCAATGGCATGAGGTAAGAACTAAATGTGGTTTCTAACTCCTTCATTTTCTTTAGGGGCTGCAGTTGGGGGCTTATGCTCCACCTGAGAAGGCAAGAGTCTAAGGAATCTGCTATTAAGTAGCAAAGCAGTTCAACAGATAAATATCTAAATAAGTTTGCTCATAGTATTCACCTAAAAGCATAAATGTATCCCTACAATATCTCAGCTTAAAATATGTTAAAATCTGGTCAGCCAATTCAGAGATTTGTAACAGGAAACACCTTTACAGAGATGCTTACTGTTGCCATAGTGATAAAGACCACCTCACTTACAAACTCATCTCAAAAATAACAATAAACTGCATAATGGATGTGAAAATATTTTGGAATAGACCACTGTACAAATGCAAGATGGTGTAACCATTTAAAACTTACATGCTGCTGCATTCTGACTCCAACAGCAATATCCACTCTAAAATCCAGATTCAGTTTTCTCAAAAAATGTCTACATTCAACGAAGAAGGTTCACCACCATTCAGAATATGCAAATGATGGCCCACAATCTCTTAAGATATTTTCAAATAATACTTCACAATGTTCTGAGCCACTGCACCCTCATAGAGGGTGACGCCTCTGCAGGAAGCCCTCTGTGAATGACTCGAAAGGGCCAACTTACCTGCTCAAACACTAGACTTACAGTCACAGAAGGACTAAAAGGGGAGAAGAGCCTACTTTACCCTCTGCACTGTGCTGCCCAAGGAACTGTCCTCTTAAGAAGTATCATAAGCCACTGGCAGAAAGCCATGAAGGCAAGGAATGTGATGGCATCTAACCGATGACTGAGAGCAGCTGAACAAGGACTCATTTCACAAGGACATATAGGACATCACACAGGAAATCAAAAGATTAGACAAAATATGCTTTCTTTAAGAAACCCTGAGAGAAATCTATCAGGCAGCAGTGAAACCTGACAGAAGAATGGGAAAGGTAGCAGAGTCCTGAAGTCCAGATGTGAACATCTGTACGTTACCTGGTCTGGAGAGAGAGACATGGACCACAGAGCCCCGTCATGGGCATCCACTGTCTCCAGCAGGGTCCCCGAGGCCAAGTCATACAGCTGCAGTCGTCCGGTCTGTGGGAGGAAAAAAGAGCACAGCGCTGAGGAGCACTCCCACCGCCAAGAAGCTACACTGCGGCCACTGCTTGGAAATGGACTCCACGCCCATGCTCTGCATTTCTACCAGAATCAACGCAATGAACCCCTGCTGATGTGTGGAGTTAAACCTGGCAGGGTACTCTTGCCATTTTCATTGGCTCCCCATCTTCAAAAGCTAAACATCATGGCCGCAGGCAAATCAGAATAAACCCATCAGCAAATGGAAACCTGGAAACCTTTAGTTTAACCAGTCCTGTAAGTGGACTAGTCTGTGGTAACTGGCTTAACCAACCCTTCCCGGTCTAGCTTTGGTTTCCTCTCTGCCCTACACTGACAATCTACTTACCATGCTAGGGTGAACAATGAACCTTAAAAATATGTAGTAGCTTAGAAAATACCGGCTACGCTTGCTTAGGACCTTGTGTAAGCCAAGGCCATGGTGCCAGCCCGGACCACACACAGCGGCAAAATCTGCTCTGAGCTTCGGCATGCCCAGTGGGAAGAGCATGAGGTGGAGACTGGAGTCCCAGGGCTGCCTCTTTCCAACTCAGTGACTGCTGGTGAAGTCATCTTTATGGGCCCGTTTTGTAAATCTGTAAAAGCCCACCTTTCTACACTGTTGTGGGGATTCAATGAAACAGTGTACGTTATCTGCATAGCACAGAGGCTAGGCCAAGTATGTATTTTAGTCATACAGGTAGCCTTGAAGGCCACATGCAAAATGGTCTCCCAACAGCAAATGGCAGATGAATATTTGTTAGAAGAATGAAAAATGAGGGAGACTTTTAATTGAATTTAATGTTCTTTCCCCGTGATCTCTCCAGCTTATTTTTCACTTTGTGCTGGGCAAAGAATATCCTTTGTTACACATGTTTTCTATAATCATGCACACACAGCCCTGGTTTATTGAGATAAAAATGACAAATACTTGCAAAGCACTTTTCAAAACATTCCATAGACCTTACTCCATTTATTCTCACTGCTACTCATCATTGCTACTTAAGGTACCAGCTCTTACTAGTAGCATGCTGTGAGCCAGTCTCTCCGCTAAGTGCTTTGCATGCTGGGAGGTAGGTTATTTCCAAAGGCCTCATAGCCAATGAGTGGAAGGGCTGGGTGGGATTCAAACCGAGGCTCATCTGCTGGGGGTGGGGAGAGGGAGGGAGCTGTCAGAAGCAAGCCTCATTATCCCATTATAGTGATAAGGAAACTCTAAGAGAAGTTATGGGACTTGCTCCAAATTATTCATTTCTTAAGGGAGAGATTCTGACTCCAGATCCACATCTGCTCATTCCTGCCCTGTATCCTCCAATCTGATGAGTATCTGGGAATGAGGCCTTGGTCAGGTTTTTACTGAAGTTTTTCACCAAGCATGAAGCTAGGTACTTAATGTATTTATCATTAATCTTCTCAAACACAATTACGTACGTGCTCAAAAAGATGCACAAAAGCTGATCACCAAAATGTTAGTGACAGTTATCTCAGGGTTATGATTTTGTCTTCTCATAATTGACATAAAGTTTGATTTCTTAGAAACAAAAAAAACAAAACAGGGACAGTGAACACCCTCATGTTATCCAGCTCTAAAACACTTTCACTATGCTAAAAAACCTTTACAGTTTAACCAGTCCTGTAAGTGGACTACGTCTGGGTTTCTCAAATGCCTTTAAGAATATCGAGTAGGATAGATATCAAAATCCAAAAAAAAAAAAAAAATCTCGATTTACCTTTGTTCCGATGACCACCTGCCTATCACCAGGTACAAAGAATGAGCAAAGCGCATATTCGCAGGTCATTGTGCGGATACACTGCAGTGTAGACCTGTGAGAAAGAAGATGGAACGTAACATAAATAGTTTGTGAAGAGAACCTGCCTCCCACCTTAGAGGTCAGGGTGTATGTGCAATGCACACTTAGCCACACAAAGCAATCAACGTGAGAGAGGACAAAGCCTGAAGAACCCTTGGCTCAGACCCAATTGCAGTCAAGGGAGAAAAGCTTATTTTCACTGTAGGAGGCCCCTCGTCTTGAGGAGCAGAGATCAACAGCAGGCAGAAAAAGCACCTGCTGGCTCAGAGACCCCACCTGCCACTACACGGAAGTGAGCTCAGGATTGCAAGACAAATCAGCTTTCTATCTATCCCTACATAAACCTTCATCCATTCACCAAATGTCTATCAAATGCCCACTTCACTCATCAAACATTTACTGAGCGTCAGGCTCTCATGAAGCTTAGCATTCTTTAGGAATGAGACAGATAAATGTTGGTCTACCAGGTGGTAGCAGGTGCTATGGAGAAACACAAAGCTGGGGGGGAGTATGTGTGCAAGGGTGGGGAAGGGTAGCAGGACGGCCCTTTGATGAGAAGAGGGAGAGAGCTTAGAGGAACAGGGGAAGGTGGTTCCAAGCAGAAAGAACAGGGAGCACAGAAGCCATTACACAGGCATGTACTTGTGTTGAAGGGAGAACAAGGCCAGTGAGGCTCCAGGGGAGCAGATGGGCAGCAGTGAGAGATGAGGTCTGGAAGGGCTTTGGCTTTAGGTTGGAGTGAGATGGAGCTATTGGAAGTGACATAACTCCCACTACGACTGCCGTGGCTGCTGTGCTGAGAATGGACTATGGGAGGACCAGTCAGGAAGCTATTTCAACAGTCCAGAGAGATGATGGTGGGGTGAATTGGGTGCAGGCATGGCAGGGGATGAGGTGGCTGGATTTGGGAACATTTTGAAGGTAAAGGATTTGCTAATGAACTGGACATGGGATATGAGAGAGAATCAAGAATGGGTACGAGGATTTGGGGCCAGAACAACTGGAAGGAAGTGATTATGTACTAAGATGGGGAAGTCTGTAAGAAGCAGGTGGGAAAATTGTTGAAGAAATGAAGATCACAAGTCTGGTTCGGGACATGTAAAAATTTGAGATGCTTACTAGACATCCAAGTGGTGACACAAGCAAAGCATTTGGATAAATGGACCTGATGGGGAGGGAGAGGCTAATGCTAGAGATATAAACTTCTGTGTCACCAGCACAGAGAAAGTTGTGACTAGAGGTCTCATAGAGTGAGAGGACACAAAGACTCCCCCACGAAGCATTCCAACACAAAAGGTAAGACGGATCCAGAAAAGACTCAGGAAAAAAACAGCCAGAAGAAGAAGTAATAAAATCAAAGAAAGTGTTTTAAAGAGGAGAAAGTGCTCAATTCCAGGAGAGAGTGTCAAATGCAGCTCACAGGTCACTGGGTGTGGAAACAAGATGTCTGATGTGGTGGCATGGCGAGGGTAAATTCTCATGGAGACAGATGCAGACAGCATAGAGACGAGAAATCAGACGGGGAGCTGGATGGAGAGGAGGAGGACGAGACAGGGTTATCACTTCTTTTAAGATGGGAGATAGTACAGCCCATCTATATGATGATGAAATGGCTGATGGAAAGGGAAACTGATGACAGGAGGAGGAAAACTACTGGAAAGGAGATGAGAAATTCACACACAAATGATTAATTTTGTTAGAAGCCCCAACAAAGCACTGTGAGGAAGGACAGGTTGTGTGGAGATAGATACAGCTATGTGGCAGGTGTAATGAGAGCAAATGAACGTTTTCTAGAAATTTCCACTTTTCCAGTGAAGTAGGAAGCAAGGTCACCAGCATAAAAGTGCTCGAGAATAGAAGGTGTGAACGAGTCACCTAGCAAAGCGAGGAGTGAAGCCCAAGCATACTGCCTACTTGTTAAAGTCAGGTAGGCTCTTCGTGCTACCCGGTAATGACAAGTAGGCAGTATGTTTGTCTCTCTCCAGCCAAGTTCAGCTACAAGCTTCAAACATGGAACAAGTTTGAATTTTTTTTGCAGGAAACAAAAGGGCAACTTTTCCTAAACCCTACAGACATACACTAAGAAAACACTGAAGATACATTTGGAAGGAACTGTTTTTAAGGCCTTAAGAAACTAATAACTAACCATGAAGAGTATTAAGACTATTCAAAGGGAAGAAAACACTGCTGGATAAAGCTACTGAAAAATCACTTCACAAACCTGTTCCAAATCTTAATGGAGTCGGCTGCCGCAGAAAGGACAGCGATATTGTCGGAGCTGAAGGACAAGGTCCGCACGTCGCTGCGATGGCCCCCAAGGGTGACCCTGCTCGTCCTCACAGGCTGAGGGGCAGGCGCTGCCGGGCTCAGTGAATACAATTCCACCAAGTTGTTCTGCAGCAGGAAGACAGCCTTTAACTCTCCTTGCGGTGAGAGGATCAGGTCAAAGGATCTGCATGTGGAAATATTCGTAAACGTCTCAGCTCCCACGGTTAATTTTTTCTAGGACAAAGGCTTTGAAATGTCCTCAATCTATATGAGTGTGAACAAGTGTAAAGAATTTTAGATGTGAGAGAAGTCTGAGTATTGGATACTAGTTGCATATATGTTAAGAAATCTGGGCTTAATCACTGGACCTGGCACATATGTTGTTCTTGTGTATCTTTTGTAAGTGACCTTAAATCCTTTTGGCATATGAGGGATAAATCTTTCTTTTAAACTGGCAGCAGAAAAGAATAGTAATCAAATAGATAAAAGGTAAAACTAATATGACATGAGAAAGTGTGCCCACTATGAGGGAGCGGGAGCTAAGAGTGACACAGACATCCCATGATCACTGTCTCCATATATACAATTCGTGCAGTCTGCTTACAAGTAGCATGACCAAGCAATACAATGCTATTCGCTGTTGCTACAACCCTCAGATACTTCACACACTGCATGCGCACTCACTTGATTTTGGCAGATGTTTTGATGTTTGCCACCCGCTGGATTTCATCTTGCAGAGTCATTTCAACACTGACTTCCAGGTCTTCTTCCTCCCCTTTGCCGGAGTTTAATCTAGAGGGAAACAAAGTCATGCTACCACTTTTCCAGCAGCTTTGCTACTAGATGAGTCAGTCTGGCTCTGGGACAGGCACATAGCCATACAGGATGACAAATGTAGTGGATGGAGAAAAGCTCTGTGCACTGCAGTGTCACAAATGTAAGGTATTACTGCATTTAAGGGGTTCTCTCAAACAATGGGCTCGCCCAAGCTGGTTTGGCTCAGCGGATAGAGCATCAGCATGCGGGCTAAAGGGGCTGGGTTTGATTCCGGTCAAGGGCACATGCCCGGGTTACAAGTTTGATTCCCAGTTGGGGGGGGGGGGTGTAGGAGGCAGCCAGTCAATGATTCTCATCACTGATGTTTCTATCTTCCTCTCCCTTCCTCTCTGAAATCAGTAAAACTGTATTTTTAAAAAATGGGGGCGGAGAACTCTGAATGCAAGAGCCCATACAATTTCCTAGGACAAGTCTCTGTTATTTGAACTATTCCACTAAAATGTTTCTGGTAAATTTTTTCAGGACATTTTAGAAACTCCATTAACCTGGATTTTTAAAAAATTCAATCCAATCATATCAGATAAACAAGAGATCTCAAAAGAGTTGCCAAGTCAGATGACTTTGTATTTCTTTGAGACGTGGTAAGTTTCAACCATTGAGGAACCAATCTCTATGACTATAATGTCCTATTTCAAGATTATGCAGCCTCCATATTTCAGTTACATGACTGTCCAGCCAGCCTTCCTTTTCACAGTCCCACAGGGGAGCATCATGCAACCCGCTTCCTTCTGTACAGGCTACTGTCATTGAAGACACAGGGCTGCCCTCTGGGAATTTAAGGCATTTAGAAATGATTTTTAAAAATCTGACTAGCTCTGTGTGGCTGACTTCAAGACTGGAATTCAACAGTTAAAAAGCTATACGAAAGAGGAGAAATGTAAACTTGGGCTACCAGCATGCCTCAACATCTAGGTTTTAACAGTGACTGGAAATAGAGTAAATATTTCCTTAACCCAGTCTTTCTATGGCTACTATACGGGCCCACCCAGGATACCTGACTATTAGTAAGTATAATATTAAGGAAACACACCTGGCTTTCTTTCTGGCCTTCTTCATCTTCTTATCCATTTTCTTCTGAATCTCCTCCCTGGAGAGAATGCAGAACACTTCCAGTACAGAGTCAGTTCCCTAGAAAGACAAAAGGCTGACTGAGTTCAGGATGGGCAATTTGTCAGCTAGCTTTTTCTCAGTAAAAACTAAAACCATTTCCTTTTCTTCCCATACTAGATGTATCACTTTGGACAACTCAATCTCTCTGGGTTCTCTGTCTCATCTGTGAAGGGGGAACACCACCTCCTACTTAGAGCACTGCTCTGAAGACTAAGTAAGAGCTAATGCTGTGAGACTGCTTAGGAAAGCAAGCATGTAATAAATGGTTGCTTGTAAGAACATAACAGCCATGATTAATGTGGTGGCTGACAGAAGCTCGGGATTATAAGTCCACACAGTATCATCATGAGTTTTAGCAGACCAAAGAAAAATTCATCTCCACAGGGACTATGAAAGAACAGGTTTCTGAAAGGAATGCCTAGTCCTTGTTTCTTCCTCCTGAGACTGGAACTCACATGGCAAGCAAGCATTCTGCCTGTTTTGTCGGTCGAGAGGTTCACGACTCTGTCCCTTCCTTCCCGCAGGATGGAGCCAGCTTTTCTGCAGGTGAGGATGCGCTGCAGAAGGAGCAACAAGGAAGAGGAAGGTTAACCTCTGAAAAGACGACTAAGAAACGCAGATAACAAAGTCCTTCCCTACAACAATGCTGAGAATTACAAATTCAATAACAATTTTCACTTTCCCCACCACTCAGCTCAATTAGAGATGAGAAACAGAAATGCCTTACATCCTCAGGAGCCTCGTCCACCTCGAGGGCACCATTCTCGGCTTCATGTGTGTCCTGTACTTCAGGGGACGACCCCTTGATTTTCTTGGGCTCTGGTTCTTCTAGATCTTGAATCTGTTTTACAAAAATGGAAAATATGAAATAATGTGTTCTAGAAAATGACTGGTAACCTTAATGACTTAGGAACCTGATGGACACTAGTACCCTCAACTCAGTGATCTCTCTAATCAAACCTCTTCAGTGGAAGGACATTTATCAGGATATATTAAATACTGACTGTAACAAATGCATACAAAACCTTGTTGGCTATTCTATCTCCAGTAACTTCCAGAGTATAAAAACTATTATTTAGTAACAAGGTGACAAAATAATAATTGACTCTTCATTAACATTAAAACCTTCTTAGGTAAAAAGTATTCTAGAGGGAAAGATTCAAACTGACATTAAGAATTGCAAAAGCATTGCAAGAGAGGTTATACTTTCCCCTTAAATAAAGAAAAGCTAAGCCCTCGCCTACTGACGTAGAACCTATCAAAGTGCTGCTGGACACACCACACACCAAACTCCAGCTAAACTTAAGGTCCAGCCCTGGTTGGTTTGGCTCAGTGGATAGAGTGTCAGTTTAGGTTCGATTCCAGTCAAGGGCACATGACTGGGTTGCAGGCTAGGTCCCCAGTAGTGGGTGTGTAGGAGGCAGCCAATCAGTGATTCTCTCTCATCAGTGATTTTTTTCCCCTCTCTCTCCCCTTCTTCCTTCCTCTCTGAAATCAATAAAACTATATTAAAAAACAAAAACAAACAAACAAAACAGAACCTTTTCCTCACAAAATCTTTAAGGATCTGAGATAAAGTTATAGATCACAGAATATAAGTATTTAGAAATACACAAACTTTAGACTTTTGTTTGAGGGGAAAGATTCACTGATATTCTCAAGTCCATCCATGAACACCGAAGGTCCAGGGATATTAGGCTAAGAATCCCACAAACTAAAACATTAGCATGATCAGAAGCTAGATGCCTAAAGCTATCCTTCCAAGCCCGAACCCATGAGGGCGATGGAGTACAGAATGAAGAAAAGTTCAGGTTATCAACGTGATAGCATTCCTTTAGTGCTACGTGATGCTGTGTAAAGCACTTGGTAATTACACCCGATTCTAAAGCCAATGAGCCCCTAACACTGGTGAAACACGACAAGCACATGATCAGAAAAGGAATTACCTCTTGCAGGTAGGCTATGTCCCAGGCCCTCAGCTCACTGTCTGAAGCCCCCGTGATGAGTCGCTTTTCTTCTGACACCAGAACCAATCCCCACACCTACAGAGTATAAAGAGATTCCAATAATACAACTTTTTAAGACCCCAGGATGTATGACATGACACTCCAAAAGCTTTAGTACACTGCAGTGACTTTACTTTGGCATTTGCAAAGTCTAATATTAAGGTAATTCTGTCAACATGGATTGTGAGAAATTCCACTGTTAGAAAGAAAAAATGGCCTATGGCAGAATTGTTGTCTGATAACTTGACTTTTCTCTGCAATTTGTTATCCCTAAGTTTAGAGAACGGTGTTCAACATAAATCCTAACAAGAGTCCATTCAAATGAAGATTTTTAAGTCTAATATTTCCTTGCCTCGCAAATAAAAGCTCCATTCATATCTGCTGCATAATATTCGGCTTCAAATACCTAAGAACTAAACAATAAAAATAGCAGTACTATTGCAAATCAATAACCGGAGATTTAACTTATGTTTCCTCATTTACTCCAGGTATATACTTTTGAAAGCCTGGTTTAAACAAAGTAGGATGCAAAGATGTGTAATATTCCCTGATCTCTATTGAAGCGATCTAAGTTCAGGTAACTTTTATAATGACTACAATTTGCTATTCACACATCACCGGGCCAGATTTAATAGTGTCATTAAATCTCCCTACAATCATAAAGGTGGACGCTTACTATTTAAAAATGATGAAACTAGCCCTGGCCAGGTGGCTCAGTTGGTGCACCAAAGGGTTGCAGGTTTGATTCCCCTTTAGAGCACATATCTAGGTTGGAAATTCGTTCCCCAGTTAGGGCATGTATAGGAGCAACTCAGCTTCCTCCCTCCCTCCTTCTTTCTCGAAAAAGCAATAAAAACATATCCTTAGGTGAGGATTAAACACACACACACACACACAAAACAAAAGAACATCAACTCATATTCATGGGTTGAAATGTACCCAAAGCCAATTTTAAGTAAATGCCAGTATCTACTGATGGCTGGCACGTCCCCAATCACACTGACTGTCTAGGTAACAGTGGATGATTACTGCTGCTGAAAGCAAAGAGCCATGAAAGGACTGAGGGAGAAAACCAGCCTTTCCTGTTGCCCCCAATTCTTCCCTGGGCCTGGGAGCCCACATGTACCTCAGTTCGGTGGCCAACCATCGTTTTGAAGCAGTGCTGGGTATCAAGGTCCCACCATTTCACCACGGTATCTTTCCCACTAAAAGAAGAAACAGGAAAAAGTATTATTAGGAAGAATCTTGAAACTAACATGGAGACCAAGGTCTCATTTGAAGCTTTAAACAGATAACGTATGTCTAACACTGCTACTCTACCTGACTTTCTTTTAAAAAGAATCTGAGCTCTCCATGGAATACTTCTAGATATGGTATGGCTCAATTGGTTGGTTCTTCGTCTCATGCACCAAAAGGGGTCGGGTTTGATTTCCGGTGGGGCACATGGGGGAGGCAACCGATTGGCTTCTCTCTAAAATCAGTAATAATGGTAAGTTTCGTCTGTAAGCCCAGCATGTTTATCCTCACAGCAGGAACATTCTCGAACAATGCAACAGAAACTTCTTAAATCTCCCTGCTCCCTAGGCTCCCATGTCATTTTTCTCTACGTCCTGGAAATGCCGCATCGGTGAAGTCAGTAAACCCTGATTCCTTCCAACCCATTTCTGTATTTAAGACATACTGCCTGGATTATTTTAACAGCTCTTCGTCTGGCTGCTCTGCCCTTTCCCGTTCCCTTGTCACATCCAATACACTTCTGTCCAATAATCTCAATTTTCTAAGATCACACCAGACTCAAAATCAGGCTCTTCATCAGCACCCTTCTCAAACCTCCCATCATCTGGCTCTAAAATTCCCTGCCAATAGGCTCTAGTCTGTCCTGCTCCCTCACTAATATTAATACAAATCTAATTAAATCCCCTTTCATGACCAAAGTGGGGGAAAACAAAAATTCCATTTACAAAGTCTTTCCTACAAAATCCCAGTTCCTTTATTTTCCCTAAACTATAATGTGCATATTCCAGTAGAACTGCAGTCATTCCTGCTCTCACGGAATCTATTATCTGAACTGGACACACTGGTGTTCCACCCACCCCACAGGAACAGCCCACCACTGGCCTAGCACGCGTGCTCCTTCATAAATTCCCAAGTCATTCCTATGGCTCTTCTAGCTACTGCCTGGCAAATCTCAGGACCCCAAACTTCCCTGGTTGGCCATTCCTCAGGAATGATAACTGTTACATTAGGTTAACCCTATACAATTGCTGATATCTAACCAATCATTTTTGACCTACACAAATGGAAATTTCAAATGGTTAGACCTAGATGTCAGAAGGCCTAAATACGGAGCACGTCTCTTCTTGACAGGCTAAACAAGCGATCGCCAACCAGTGGTCCGTGGATCACTGGTGGTCCATAAGGTCCTAAAGGTTGGCGACTGATGGTTTAAGGAAACCTTTGGAGCAGCAGTCGCCAACTGGTGGTCTGCGAGGTCTGAAAAATTGGCGACCACTGGGTTAAACCAAATACTTAGTATTCACCTCTGCCCACTGCTCCATATTGTGATTTCCTGACTTTCTGAGGATCTAGAAAATGCACAGCTCATTCTATAGAAGGCACATCAAAGAGGTTAAGGAACATGGAAAAGCTGGTATCAGAAAGTAGAATTTAAAAATACTTTGAGTAACTCCAGATAGCTTCTATGATACTGTTTGAGAGGGGAGGGGAGAGGAAAGGAAAGCAGAGAACAGAGGAAACTAGAACATGAGCTTGAGTGTAGCGTGGAGAAATGAGTAAGCAATGGAGCAAATTGCCTCTTTAAAACCCTCCACCTAGAGAAGAACTGGAAGGGAAACTTTTTCTTTACCTGCTGACTAGCAGGTTCTTTTCTCGTAGGAACAAGGCTTGTGTGATGGCATCCTTGTGCCCCTTTAGACGGTAGAGGCCACTTTCATTGATCACGTCCCACACAATAATATCTGTGTCCTAAAGGGATCAAATAATACAGAACCTTCTTTATCATATAAAGGCCTAACAATAGGTTGCAACATTTTTATTATAAATTTTTATTATATACCCCTCCACGTAGTTAGCCAATTGTCTAAATACCATTTTATAAGTCACCCATTATTTTCTACTACTCAGAAATATCATCTCCAAAATATACTCATCAGGAATAAGAAAGTAATTTGTTTCTGGAACTCTCATTAAGTTGTAATAATTACCTATTTTGTATAAATATGAGATTAATGTTTTCAATTATGACTTCATAGTGCATTTTAATATCTAAAACCTCTTAAAAAAAAATCTAATCCTGAAAAAAAAGCCACAAAACTGAAACTCTCTTTTATTAGTCTTCTTTCCCCAAATTCTAGAGTTTATGATTCATTTGTTTTTTCCATAAATGTTTTAAAATTATTTTATCATGTTCTAACAACAACAAAACCCATTGGGATACTTATTTAAATTGCTTTTACTATACAAATTAATTAGAAAACACTAGCATCTTTTTAATACTCTGTCTTTTTATTTAAGCACATGGTTTGTGTGTCTATTCAAATCTTCTGTTACTTTCTTTAGTCAAGCTTCATAGTATTTTTCTGGCTGTTACTTAATAAACCATTGTAAATGGAATCTTTTACATTACATTTTCTAACTTTGAGATATAAGAAAGCTACCAACTTTACTAAACTCAATGGCAAAGATAACCATTTTGTCTCTGCCCTCATGTACTATTTTGGGTAGCACTCCCACAATGATGTTATATAGCAGTTACCAGGGGCGTACTCATTTTGTTCCTATAGCTAATGGGCTCTAATCAAGACTATGACAGAAAACAAAATGAACCTCCCCATTCAGACCCATTCTTCTTGCTCTGTTTCTATCACTTATACTGTTGTGTACACGATGTGCCCATTTTTCATCCAACAATTTTTGTGTATATCCTGCTTAAGCTTAGGATTACAGTCCTTTACTAGATCAAAGTCAGGGCAACTATTTAAGGTCTCACCTTGGACCCAGATGCCAGCCTGCCTCCCAGCTGATCATACTTCAAGGAAGTGATGGCTGCTTTGTGACCATTGAAGGTTACATTTCCTTCCCCACTCAGGAGACTGAAGATTCGAATAGACCCATCCTCATAACCAACAGCTAAGTGCAGCCCATCTGGGGAGGGGCACAAGCAAGTGACTTCTTGTTTAAGCCCCTGAAGGATAAGGATCTGAAATCAAAACAATAAAAATAAGAGGAAGTAAGCATGTCATTAAGGAAAGAGTGGGATTAACCAAGCACATAAAATTAAGAGCACCAAATCAGTTTTAGAAATAATAATGAAACTGGAATCCATCTCAACTTTTTTAATATAGGAATTATTATTAGTACTGGGCAATGAGACATTCAAAAGAAAAGGCAAAATTATTTTCTCCAAAGCTCTACATTAGTGTAATACATGCAGAAATTCCCCAGGCAATGGCATGAATAACTAAGTTCTTATCCCATGCCGTGAAGTGGTTTTCCATAAAGGGCTGTGAACACATCCTCAGCTTCACACAGCCCCATCTTCTAAGAAACCAACCTAGGTGGCACCAGAGTGCTATTGTGGTTTATCTCCCGAGGGACCCTGCGCAGCAACAAGTATCAACGTATTAACTTCTTGGAAGACAGTGAGTGGGCAAGATCAAAAGGCCTGTGTTTGTTTTGGTAGCAGTGGTAGGCTTATGTATTTAGAGTTACACAAAGTATCAAAGCCTAGTTTAACAACCCGAGCCTCAGCTGAATAAGTAAGAAAAAGATTCAGTCAACACAGCAGAGAACTATTCCTTTTATATGCCTCCATTTTAACTGGCTGTGAGGACAAGTAGAAGAACCTGACAGAGAAGTGGTAAAGCAGAGAAACACACACATGTAGGGAATAATGATTACAAATACTTACCTTAAGTATCGCTATAAATAGATTCCAAAGAGGTAGGCTCCTGATACCTGGCTATCTAGAACCAGAGAGAAAAGATTTCCCTTCTAGGGGCACACACATTCAAAATCTGAGCACGAGAAATCTGAGCTCTCCTGCTTCTGCCTCTCCATCCTCAAATACTCGTATGTCAACACTGATACGGGCCATTTCTGGCTTACCTTCTCGCCTTTTCTTAAGTCCCAGACGAAAACATGTTCACAGGCTGGCACTGCCACGTAGCGGCCTTTTTCCCCACGAAGCGTCACAAAGACAATATTGCCTTTCTGGCTGCCAATGAGGCCAAAGACTGCGCTGGCAACATAGCGAAGGTACTGCTTGGTGAGCCCCATGTTGGAAGCTCTGAAATCACAGGTGAGGCAGCTGCACGGGCAAAGAAGAAAACTCAGTCCTTTGGGTATGTTGGTTCTATTAGGCTGGCAAACACCAATTGTTTATCATGTGGTTAGCTTATACAATAATTCATGGTATAAAATACCTGGACATCTTACTTTTTTACTCATCGATGATTCAACATGTAATCAATCCCTCATTTATCAAGTTGCAAACTGCTCACATTGTCATGCCCTCTCACAAATATCTGATGTATGGCCTCAATGTCGCTAAATTAGTTTCTGTCCATTTAATCACCCTCTTAAGTTTTTACACCAAGACTGAGAGCCTGGGACTGAAAATATTTATCAACAAACATTTATTGTAAACTTACTAATTAGAAAGGTACTGCTGTATATGCTAGGTCAGTGGTCGGCAAACTCATTAGTCAACAGAGCTAAATAGCAACAGTACAATGATTGAAATTCCTTTTTAGAGCCAAATTTTTTAAGCTTAGACTTCTTCTAACGCCACTTCTTCAAAATACACTAGCCCAGGCTGTGGTATTTTGTGGAAGAGTCACACTCAAGGGGTCAAAGAGCCGCATGTGGCTGGAGGGTGCTACGGTGCTAGATCAACAAACTCCCTGACCGCACAGCAATTACCTTTAGCACAGTGATTCTCCATCGCCAAAAGCACCCCGCTCACCTGGGGCTCAGTAGAACAGATGGCAGGGGCCCACACCACCTCCTCTTCCCAAGACTTTTCATTTCTAACAAGTTCCCAAGTGCTGCTGCTACGTTCCTCGTTTGAGACCTACTCCAGTACAAACAGGGTCGCCACCTCCCCTTGGCACAGAAAATGGCACAGCAACTTGGCACACTCTTTTTGAAAGATGCCATAGTTCCCACACTAAGTCAAATCCACTGAAAACACTGGTTATGGATAAGAGACAACACGTGAGGGAATTAACAAGCCACGCCCATGTGTCCTTGACATGGTAATGTGAAAAGTACTAAGCCCCCAAACAATCGTGCACTTAAAAACACAGTAACCACTCACTGGCCCATTTTTTCTTAGCACAGTAACCACCGTAAAACCAGTTCAAAATCAAGGAAAGATAATATTCACGTGGTGATAATGCCCTTAACCTACGCCATTTATCAACACCTCCCCGATTCATCTTATTCCTTAACATGTTGTTCCTCATGCTAGTCCTTGGCCATCTCCCAATTCTTTCCAGTGTTTTCCACGGAGAAGTCTATAGAGACAGTCTCCGCGAAGGGACTGCCACATCTTTATTTCCAGCCCTGTCCACATCCGTGAAAACTGATTAGACATCCCCGTTAGAATATATTGCAGCATCACGTTTAAGATGTCTAAAAACATACCTACTTTGCTTCCCAACCCCTTGCTATTTTTTTTTTTTCTGACTTTAAGACACACAAATCTCCTAGCCATTCAGGCTCAAAATCTTGTAGTAACCTTTGGCTCATTAATAAAAAATATTATAGCAGCCAACAGGTGCTTACTATAGCAGCTTCATGACTTACGGTGGGTGGGAAGGCCTTCCCAATAAACCCACTGTATTACTGCTCATCGAAACGCATTTAATACACCCAACCTACAGAGCATCACAGCTCAGCCTATATGCGGGCACCATCATCCAACATGAGCCCTCTATGGAGAGCATGGGCGGTTTGCTCTTGTGATTGCGTGGCTGACGGGGAGCTGGGGCTCACTGCCCAGCTCAGGAAGGGCATCCTGCTGCACAGAGTGGGTCTGGGAAAAGATCAAAATTCAAAGTGCAGTTTGCATGGAAAGCATACCCCCCTTTTCCCACTATCGTGAAATATAATAGAAAAATCCCAAGTCGGGACCATATGTGCATGTTGACTAGTTATGTATCTAACCGAAGAAACTGTATACAATTGTCTAGTAACATACAGCAACTGAGTCACTTCAGTGGGTTAATATACTTAAAGCACGTAGAGCACCTCACATGTAAACATCAATGTAAAATAATTCTTCACCATAACCTTCCAAGGCAGGGACTGCTGTTATTTGCAATTTTACAGGCCAAGGAAACCAGGCGGGGATGGGAAACGCCTAGCCCTCAGCCACAGAGCGCGTTTTATTTATTTTTAAAAAATATTTTATTGATTTTTCACAGAGAGGAAGAGAGAGGGATAGAGAGTTAGAAACATCGATGAGAGAGAATCATCGATCAGCTGCCTCCTGCACAACCCCTACTGGGGATGTGCCCGCAACCAAGGTACATGCCCTTGACGGGAATCGAACCCGGGACCTTTCAGTCCCCAGGCCGACGCTCTATCCACTGAGCCAAACCAGTCTTGGCAACAGAGAGCGCGTTTTAAATGCCGGAGCCACATTCGATCCAGGCTAACGCCAGCATGGCTCATTAACCACCAAGCTTCTCAGGGCTCCTGCCCGCGTGTGTCGGAAACTCCCACCTCGCCGACTGTCTCTGAGGGAGGACCCTCACCCCCCGCACATCCCCTACTTTCGCTTCCAACCTTTTTATCCCTGAGCTCCGGGACCTATTGCCCATCCAGCACCTCCGCCTGCATCTTTAGGAAAATCTTTTTTCATTTCAAAGTCGTCGTATTACTACCACCAGCCTGATTTTTTTCGCTGCTCCGACCCCAAAGCCCTTGAAAAGACTAAATGGTGTGCCGTTCCTAAGAACTCATCCTAAATCCGTCCGTCTTCCTGCCTCACAGGTGCTCGCTCAGGTTCCCTTCCGCGTCCTGCCGCCTGGCCTTCCGGTCACCCGCCCCCAGGAGCACTGCCCCCTCTGCCTCTCCGAATGGCGGTGTCCTCGGAGGCCCACTCCCTCCGGGGCTGGTCCAATTCCCACGGCCTTTCCCGCAGCCTCCATCCATGCTTGACCGTCTTCCACTCAACTAGGCGCCCTCGCCGGCCTCATCGCCGCCCTCCCGCGCCCCAAACACGTTGCTGCCATGCTGCACCGAAGGGCTGGGGCGTCCCTGAACCGAGCCTTCAGTCTGGAGAAGGTGAGAGGCATCCGCACACCGGCCGCGCCGCCATGGAGACCTCGGGCGAGCCGGGGCTGCACGCGCCGGACCGGGGGTACGTACGCGCGCGGCCTCCGCCCCGGCGTCCCTCCACCCCAGCGGCCGACCCCAACCCCCTCCCGCCTCGGCTGCTGCGGGCAGCCCCGCAGGCCTCAGCCGGGAAACGAAGTTGAGGAGCGGAGCACCCCGAGGGTACTCACCTCAGCAGCCTGAGTCCTCACCGCAGCTTCCCACGAGGCTCCGGGCGCTCTGGACCCGCCCCTTCCGGTCCTCCGGCCTCTGTAACCGGAAACAACGTAAGATCCGGGCTCTGATTGGCCAGCGCCGGCCGGGAACGGAAGTCGGTGTTTCGCAGCCCCGAGCCTCTGCAGCTGATCACTCCGGCTTCCAGGGACTTTGATCGCCTCGCCCTTCCAGCTCCGGGAAGAGTGGTCCGGGATGCCGATCGGCGGCTTTCTATGAGGAGTGTAACCCGCCCCGCCTGCCGCCCGAATGGGATCGCGGGAGTGAGGTGAAAGGGGCCGGGAGGGGAGGCGGGAGGAGCGGGCCGGGGGCGCGGTGGGGGCGCGCTGGACTCACCCCGGCGGGGTGTGCGGGCAGAGGGTCAGTTCTGTGGGTTCTCTGGAAGAAGGATCCTTCCCCGCTGCTGGGTTTCTCTTTCCCGATGCGCCGTCGGGGACGACTTACCCAGGAGGAGGGAGGAGGTAGGCAGATCCGGGCACGGGGATCGTGATGCTGTGGTCACGGGGGAGGCGCGTGCCCTGCGTGCGGGAGCCCTGCTGGTGATAATCCCAGAATGGGATCTATAGGTTGCCCCGGTGGACTGGCCGAATGGTCAGAATCCCCGTTCCGTGCCGAATGGTCTGGATCCCCGCAGTCCCCGAAGTGACATTGGTCCGGCTTCGTGTTTCCGCTCCCTGGCCGCTGGAGGGGGAAGTGACCTGAGCTGACTCTCCCTCGCTGGGCCACTGAGGCTTAGGTGCGCTTGCAGTTCTATTCGCCTGTATAGTTGGGTTTCCTGGAAATGTTCAGAAATGAATCCTGATGTCTATAGCTGAGGACAATGAAAGCTAACCTGTGCTTCAGTAGAAAACTTCGTAGGCTACCTGCCATCTAGATCACACCCCTTGGATTATCTGATTCTAAGAAAGCTGTTTTACAACTATGTAAACTGTAGATAACTAATCTCAAATTTAATAAAAGTTGTTGTAAGAGCTGCTGTGACTGAGCGCTAAGATTGTGCCTCTTATAAAGTTCCCTATACATACACCATACAAGACTATAACCCTAACTTATTTAAATTTAAAATTGCTCAAAGTATTAATACTTACAATTGAAAATAGTAAAGGTCTTTTAATGTGGTACTACTAACTCACCATGCCAGCATGTGCTTTGGATGTTTTTGAATGATGGTGTTGAATTTGATCTGTGCCATGGACACGTTTTAGAAATATTTTTGTATTGCTCTATTTATTGTTGACATATTGACTGCTTGTTTGTTTTCCATATAAGTAAGTTTTTTTTTTTTTTTGGAAAAAGTCATTCTTTCCATTTGCATGGAAGGACTTAAATATAATGGATTTGATGTTGGGATACAGGTATCATGCACAAATATCTAGTGTACCCTGACTAACTATTGAAATACAAAGACTTAAAGAATGGTAAGCCTGTAATTTATGCAAAGACAGTGAAAATGAACTGGTCAAAATGGGGGGCCAAGCGCAGCTGGTGTGGCTCAGTTGGTTGTGCATGGCCCCCATGTGTTTGGTGCAAATGCCATGCAGGGATGGTACCATGCAGGGTTGGGGGCTCTATCCCAGTAGAGGGCGTGCAGGAGGCAGCTGATTGATGTTCCCTCTTACCGGTGTTTCTATCCCTCCCTCTCCCTCACTCTGAAATCAAGAAAAACATTTTTTTAAAGGGAGATCAAAGGCAAGGACCAGCTCTCTTTGTAATTTCATCTAGGCCTATCTAATCAGTGTAAGCATTTTGAAGAATAAGATATAAGTGGAAAATGATATTGTTTTCTTCTTATCCAGACCACAATTAGGTTGTTTTGAGACAGTGATCAAGGTGTTCTGCTTAATTCTCTTGTCTTTTTAAAAAAAATTGATGTTTTGAATAGAGAGGAAGTAGGAGAAAGAAAGACATCAAGTTTGTTGTTCCATTTACTTATGCATTCATTGGTTGATTCTTGTATGTGCACTGACCGGGGATTGAATCTATCCTTTCTCCTTACCTGAGCCCTCTGTTTGCATTCTTTTTTATTTTATTTTATTGATTTTTTATAGAGAGGAAGGGAGAGGGATAGAGAGCTAGAAACATCGATGAAAGAGAAAAATCAACCAGCTGCCTCCTGCACACCCCCACCAGAGATATGCCCGCAACCAATGTACATGCCCTTGGCCGGAATCAAACCTGGGACCTTTCAATCCGCAGACCGACACTTTATCTACTAAGCCAAACTGGTTTTGGCATCACTAGGATTTTTAATCTGAGTCTGGGAACTCTGTCACATTTATTTGGAAATCTGTGCTTGTATGAGCTTATGTGCTCACCTCTTGGGTGATGAAAGGGTCTTTATTACTCATGTGATTTTCAAAAATGTTAAAAATTGCCGAAACCGGTTTGGCTCAGTGGATAGAGCGTCGGTCTGCAGACTCAAAGGTCCCAGGTTCGATTCTGGCCAAAGGCATGTACATTGGTTGCGGCACATCCCCGGTAGGGGGCGTGCAGGAGGCAGCTGGTCGATGTTTCTCTCTCATCGATGTTTCTAGCTCTCTAGAAACCTTCCTTCCTTTCTGTAAAAAATTAATAAAATATATTTTTAAAATGTTAAAAATTATTGTTCTTAAGGATAAGAAATCAGATTTCCCTGCCTAGCTTGGCTTTGGGGCTCCATTTGCATCATTGGGGAGGAGGAGATTTAAATTTCTTTTTAGTTAGAAAGTCAATTTCTGTTTAGAGATGGAGCTGAAAAAAGAATTTACCCTTTGTTAAAATGCCATGGCACTGCCCTTAAAAGCCATTAAACTCTGCCCTACAGTAAGCACTCTGACTGTTACTTACTGCTCATTTAACATCCAGTATCTTGTGGGTCACAATGAATTAAGATCTGGGAAGATGGGCTAACAAGATGAGATGGGAAATAAAGGAGAAACCCAAGTCTGTACTGTCAAAGAAGATAGTAGTGTCAGGAAGGAAAGAATCAATAGTAAATGCAGCTAAAAGTTGATTAGCTCTTGGAATCCACATTTGGGGAGTTATTGTTGACTTTGAAAGGGCAGTTTTAGCATTGTTGGAGAAATGGAAGCAAAACTGCAGTACGTGGCATAAATGAAAAAATAGGAAGTAGAGCTGCAAAACAGATTCCTTTTAAAAAGTTAAACAGTGAAAAGAGTTTCCATTTCCGAAGGAGCAATGAATTAGGGACCTTTTTTTGGGAATAGGCAGACTGAGGGCAAGGAGATCAAAATGTTGTGAAAGAGAATTGAGGATACTGCATTCTCTCAAAGAATGAGTCTAGTGGAAAGGGAGTGTAGTCTCCATTTGTCCTCTCTTCAGCTTGTGCAGTTCAAGTCTGAATACTTGTGAACAGATCGATAGAACTTGTGCCTCCAGTTTCAAAGGCCAATTCTCTGGACTAAGTATAAACTTGTAGATAAAATTAGTTTGTTTCAAAATGATTTCAAGGAGTGTTTAGTAGCAAATAAAAATAATCTTCTCAAGCAATTTTATCCTGGTATTGAGAGAGTAGACAGTTAAGCATGAGCAGAGCAGGAATGTAGGCCTTTACACTTCATGCTTTCTCCATCTCCTTCTCTACTTAGTTTAAACCTTTGTTATCTCCTACTGTTTGATAGACGCAAGCTCCCTGCTTCTCAATCTGTATTTCCGCTACATTATCCTTAACTGAACTCTTTAAATTGTACATATTACTTATCTTTGTATCTCTTGCAGCACCTAGCACTCACTCTCCCCCTCCCCACAACCGGCCCCTCATTAGCAGATACTTGGTGAATATTGAATGACTATTCCTATATTTCTGGAAAGAAGAATTGGTGGTCCCTGTGATTATTTTAGTGGCTGTAATTCTCTGAAAAGAATTTGTGCTTAAATAATCTCTCTTCCTATTTTAGAAAAGCTGGCGGGGGGGGGGGGGGGGGATTAGAGAAAAAAAAAACTTAGCAATCCTTCATTGTACATTGATTTTTAATAGACTGTTTAAGTAACTGTAATTGTATTCAGTAGGGTTTTGTTATTTGTTCTAATACAAGGAAAGTAGTATCTGTGCTTCTCTATTAAAACATTGGTTTCTTTTTCTCTTAGGCTGACGTCTCCAGTGGATATTGAGTAGCTGAGGAATCTGGGAAAAGACCAGCTGAAGCTCCCATTCCATGGATCCTTTGGGTGCACCTTCCCAGTTTGTGGATGTGGATACGCTGCCAAGCTGGGGTGACTCTTGTGAAGATGAATTAAACGCTTCTGATACTGCAGCCGAAACAGACACCATTAGATCACCTTTTCTCTTTAACAAGACCGTCAATGGAAAAGTGATTCTTTGGTAATTCTTTGGTTAAATCATATCGCGATATGACAATACATTATCGAAACTTCATCTGAATTTCTTTTTTACTCAGAGTTTCTTCTAAACTTTTTTTTGTAAGCCCCAGCATTGTTGAAATGTTGCTTTGCATAGACATATGTGCTCTATCAAAGTATAATTGACATACGATAAACTGCACACATTTTGTACAATTTGGTAAGTTTTGGCATATGTATACCCCCATGAACCCATCACCACAATCAAGATAGTGAATATATGAATCACCCCCATCAAATATTTTGTGTTTCCCTTTGAAATCCCTTTCTCCTGCCCTTCTCTGCCTCCACATCCCCAAGCAACCATTGACCATTCTGTCATTATAGATTTTTGCATTTTCTAGAGTTTTACTACTTTTTAGTCTGGCTCTTTCATTCAGCATAATTATTTGAAAGTTCATCTATCTTAATGAATGTATTAGTAGTCATACAATATTTTTTATAAAAAGCTTTATCCAGATACAATTCGCCAATTTAGATGATATGAGCCAGTGGTTTTTAGTATATCACAAAGTTGTATAATCATCACCACTGTCAATTTTAGAACATTTTCATTGACCCAAGGTTCTATACTCGTCAGCAGTAACTACCCATTTCTCTTTTCTCTGCCCTCATTCTCCAAATACACACATACACAATCTCTCAATTCTAGGCAACTGCTAACCTGCTTTCTCTCTATATAGCTTTACCTATTCTGGACATTTAATATACATTGAATCAATTGTGGCTTAGTGTGATGTTTTTTAAGCTTCATCCATGTTGTAGTGTGAATCAGTACTTCATTATTTTTTATGGCCAAATAATACCTCCTTGTATGGATACACCACCTTTAGTTTATCAATATATTAGTGGATGGGCAGTTCAGTTGTTTTCACATTTGGGGTATTATAAATAACACTGCTTTGTCTAAATTCTTTAAACCACCCACTTCTGCATTATGAGCATTTTGTTACAATGAAACAAATGTGAAGGAAGCAAAGGAGTAACATGGTTTTATTTGTTTTAGACTTGTAGGGATTGCTATAAATATCTATCTAGGCTGCCAGATTAGTCTTTCAGAGAGTAGCATGTTTTGCAAGAATTAGAAACTAGCTTTCTTATCTCCCTCCTCAGCCCCACACTTGCTCTTTATGTTTGCTCAGGAAAGGAGATGTGGCATTGCTGAACTGTACAGCCATTGTGAATACCAGCAATGAAAACCTCACAGATAAGAATCCTGTGTCCGACAGTATCTTCATGCTGGCGGGGCCAGATCTGAAGGAGGAGCTCCAGAAACTGAAAGGTGAGTGGATTTTCTTAAGGACTTACTGCGTAGGAAGAGTCTTCGGCAGGAGCATGGTGGACTCGAATTGAATGAAAGCAATCTGTCAGGTATCCAGCACTGCCTTTCAGTTCCACCCCCTTTCTTCACACCGGTTGCCCCATTTCCACACACAGTTGGATTCCTCTGGGTTGCTAAACCAGTTACTTCTAGGTCATTGACTGTCTCCCTTCCAAAATGTTGATGCTCATTTGCTTCATGTTCTCTCCCGTTCTTTTCATCTCTGTTTTCATACCTATCGTATTGCTCACTGTCATTTTGGGAACAGGGAAATGTGTTTAACCCATATTTCTAGCTGAAATTTCTCAATGTCCTTCTATTATCTCTGTGTCATGCATTGTTTAGTTGTTTTCTTTCTAACCCCACCATGACATATGTGCTCCATTGCTCCCAGGGTGCCGGACGGGTGAAGCCAAATTGACAAAAGGATTTCACCTAGCGGCCCGGTTCATCATTCACACGGTGGGACCCAAGTACAAGAGCCGCTACCGCACAGCAGCCGAGAGCTCCCTGTACAGCTGCTACCGGAACGTCCTGCAGCTGGCCAAGTACGGCCTTCTCGCTCCCTGGCCAGAGCAGGCCACACTTTGCTAAAGGCCCTGGTTTTACAAGGAAGCCTCACTCTGGAAGTCAGGATTTGAGGGATTTAGATAATCTCAGAGGATCCTGAAAATAGAGCCCATTGTATTATCAAACTTAGCAGTAAAAGGAATGGCTTTGGTGACTTGAGAATGTAACTTGTTCTCATTTTACCCAGTCTTTATGTGGAATATGTTTCCCCCAAATGGCGCAATTAAGTTATAAGTTAATATCATTCTTAAATACTGCAATTGCGTTAACTGCTATGGTAGATTTGTTGAAGGGACAGGGAAGGAGAAGTTAAGCTGTGTTTTAAAATTAGTTATGGATTGTGAATGTTTGCAGTGTAATTTTTTTGTTTTCTGTTGGGTTGCAGAGAGCAGTCAATGTCTTCTGTTGGATTCTGTGTCATCAATTCTGCAAAACGAGGTTATCCTTTGGAGGACGCCACACACATAGCCCTTCGTAAGTTATATTGGAGATGCTGTGCATACATTGCCTTAGCACTTCATACATGGGATTGGGGTCGCTGGACATAAATTGAGTCTTAAAAATTTTATATCACTAGCGAAATAGTTCTAGCCGAAGTAGAGTTGTTAACTGACCATGGCACCTGGAGAGACGCTTGTATTGATGAAGTGTAAAGATCTTAATTTACTTTCTCGTGTTGATATTTTTATGATGTAAAAATATTTCTCTCTTTTCCTCATCCTGCGCGGCTAGAGAGCGGGTCCAATTCCTGAGTAGAGGAGCTGCTGATTGAGAAAGAAAAGAAAGAAAAAAGACACAAAATGGAAGGAAAAAGCTGGGAACTGGGTGGGACTGCTGCCCCCTTCTGCTGGAGAGACAGTGACCCAGAGCCCATACAGCATGTTTATTTTATACCCCCAAATACCAGGAAGTTTCACCAGAAGTCAAGACAAAGGAGATTATTTGCATTCTTTAGTAGGCCCGAGCATTCCTGGTGCCTGACTGGATTTATATATCAAAACACACCTGGGCTGAAATGAAGGTCAAGCTGACAACACTCTTGCCTTTTTGGCAAAGTGTGTTCCCAGGGCATGGCTTTGCCAAGGCCACTGGGTTCAGACAATAATTAAAGAATGCCCATGTGCCTTCACAGATGCTCTCTACATTTTTATCCATTTGAATGGAAGATATGCCCATTAAAATGAAACCAAGCTAAGAAGTATGGCCAATACGTTGGGTATTCGAATCCTAATTCAGAATAATCTTAATGGGCTGCAGCAGTAAAGCCAAAACAGATTTTATAATAGCAGATTCACATAGCACTTCAGAGTTTAAATCACAGCATCTTTCTTATGTGCCATTTGAATACATACAACCCTGATATTTAGTTTAAAAAAAGACTGAGCTCAATCATTAGGAGCCAGAACGTCACTTATGTAATATTCTGGTAAAAACAGGACATTCAGCTCGAGGGGGCCCGTGATCTCACTGTATATATGCAGGTTCATTCCACATCTAGAGTTTGTATGTAGTTCTGCATCTCACATGTCATGAAACACAGACAAGCTGGAGGGCAGATGGTTTGAAACATTATTTTAGCTCCTCATATTTATTTTTTGTTTAAATATGAGGAGCTAAAAGTCTTATATCCACCAAAAAATTACAAATATATTAGCAAGTACAGAATTAGCAAGTACAAACAATGAATTGGCCTCAGTCTTAAGTAGTCTTATTTAATAATTAGCTATTTTAAAAACTAAGCTTCTTACTGCTCAAGGATTTCATAATAAATTTACATATTTGTAGATAGAGTATTATTTATATATATTATATTGGACTGAACTTCTTGAGGAGCAGAAATCTTATCTTTTCATTGAGCAGAGACCTGAATGAAATGATAAGTGATCCATTACAAAAATAAAACTTTGAAGAGTTTGATTTTTCTTCATATGTAAATAACTTCTTTTTTTTAAAAAAAATAATCTTTTGTTTTTTCCTTAGGCACTGTAAGGAGATTTCTAGAGATTCATGGAGAGACCATTGAAAAAGTAGTATTTGCTGTTTCTGAACTTGAAGAGGTATTTTGCTAATTATGTTGTATTGTTCAAATCTTACAGACCAATATATCTTATGAATAGAGATGCACAAATCTTTAACAAATTACTAGCAAACTGAATCCAGCAACATATAAAAGGGTTACCAAATGGGATTTATCTCAGGACTGTAAGGTTGGTTCAATATACAAAAATCAATCAATATAATGAACCATAGTAATAGAATAATAATAGAATCAAAGATGAAACCACATGATCATCTCAGTAGATACAGAAATTGGACAAAAATCTGACAGCCTTTCATGATAGCACTAACAAACTGGGAATAGAAGGTAACTTTCTTAACCTGGTAAATGGCATCAGTGAAAGACCTGTTGGCAATTAGATGTGACATTGTAGGTTCATCAGTTATAAAAATATACCACTCTGGTGGCTGTGCATGTGTTGCGACATGGGGGCATATGAGAAATCTTTGTACCTTCTCAGTTTTGTTTGGAAGCTTAAATTGCTTTTTAAAAAGGTCTTTTTTTATTTATTTAATGAGCAGAAGTGTTAAATAGGCATTACTTTAGAAAAGTAATGACCAATAAGCACAGGAAAAGATGCTCCACAACATTTGTCATTAGGAAAACGCAAATAGAAAACACTTTTCATTCACTGGTATGGCTGTCTTTACATAGATAACAACAAGTGTTGGTGAGGATGTAGAGCAATCCAAACTTCCATACATACCTATCTAGTGAGAATGTAAAATTGCGCAGCTCTTTTCCACAAAAAGTTTTACAGAAATTTCAGTCTTAGGTAAAGACAAAAGAAAATTGAAAACATTTGTCCACACAAACACTGTACATGAAATATTTATGTCAGCATTATTCATAACAGTCCAAAAGTGGGAACAACCAAATGTAATCAACTGATGAGTTGACAAATGTGTATGAACATACAATGGAATATTAAGCTATAAGAAGTACTGATACAGGCTACCATGGAGGTGTACCTTGAGATTGTTACACTAAGTGAAAGAAGCCAGACACAAAAGCCCACAGACTGTATTCCATTTTTATGAAATGTCCAGAATAGGCAAATCCAGACAGACAGAGAGTGGATTAGTGGTTGCCAGTGTTAGGGAGGAAGGAGAATGACATAGCTATTGAGTTTAAGTTTTCTTTTGAGGATGATGAAAATGTTCTGGAAGTAGATAATAGTGATGGTTCTACAACTTAGTGAATATACTAAAACCCATGGAAGTATAATATTTTAAAAGGGTGAATTTTATAGTATGTGAATTCTTTCTCAGTTTTTTTAAAACGGCTATAAAAATGGTGTCACTTATGTGTCTACTTTATACATGAAAGAAGATGCAATATTACAGGTGAACAATAAGAAAACTGGCATGATTTCTTGAATGATTTCATGTTTTTCTAAGCAATTTTGTCATTCTTAGTGGTTTTTTTTTAATACTATTTTAGTTGTTTTGTTTTTTAGTATAGTTGGGAATAATTAATGATAAATGATAAAATAATTTCTAGGATGATGAAAAAGAAACAGGAAAAATAAGAGCACTAAATGCCTATAATGTATCAAGGATTTATAAATGAATCAAATGAACCATCTCACATGGAAATTATAAAATAGAATGAGTTTCATTCTAATTTTTTTAAAAACAATTTTCCTTTGGGAAACTTCTAAAAAAGAATAAAAGTCTTGAAATAGCAATTCTCCATAATGAGTATTAAGAAAAATACTCAAAATTAAACTGGGTCAGTGGACCGTGATGGCTCACTGAGGATTGTGAAGGAGCATCTGAGATGAATCTTGACAGACATGTCATTAGTAAGGTGAAGGGTGGGGAGGGAATAGGGGTGGCAGGCTCAGTCACGGGGAATTGCCAGAATGGGAGTCATGTTTAACTAGCTAATGATGTCCTGATCTTTAATACAAAACTGAAGGAGGTCCCAGCATCTATCAGGAGGCTCTCTTCACAGTGTCTGAGCAGCACTAAACACTGAGGGGCCTGCTTCATCACTTCATGATTTTCACAGAACGTCTTGCTTTTCCGACACAGGCTACTTACCAAAAGCTGCTCCCTCTGTACTTCCCAAGGTCATTGAAGGAGGAGAGTCGGTCATTGCCGTACCTGCCCGCAGATATTGGAAATGCAGAAGGGGAGCCTGTGGTACCTGAACGGCAGATTCGAATAAGTGAAAAACCTGGTGCCCCGGAAGGTGAGTTCTGCCTTTCCAATCTCCCTCTCAAGGAAGTGAAGGGGTTGATAACAGAAGTGGGGGGTAGTATGTGTCTGTTAGTGTGACACTGAGATCAAGATCAACTTAGAGGTTTTTAAGAGTCTTCTTCTTTTTTAAAAAAATATATATATTTTATGATTTTTTACAGAGAGGGAAGGAGAGGGATAGAGAATTAGAAACATCGATGAGAGAGAAACATCAATCAGCTGCCTCCTGCACATCTCTTACTGGGGATGTGCCCACAACCAAGATACATGCCCTTGATCAGAATCGATCTTTCAGTCCGCAGGCTGACGCTCTATCCACTGAGCCAAACAGGCAAGAGTCTTATTCTTGTTTAGATTTACTCTTTAAATAAAATAAACATTTTAAATACACCCACGTGCATATGTCAGGTCTGTGTTAGGCAATAGAAATTCAGAGGTGAGTATAACAACATTCTTACCCTCATGAAGTTGATACAGGACACTGTTGAGACAGTAGTCACGTACATTATCATCTAAAACGTTCAACAGCTTCAACAAGGTCTTCTAAAACCATACTTCCTTAGTAACCTGACCAAAGGACTGAAGTTTATGTGCCGGGCAATCAGGTGCTCTGGATACATGACCCCAAACATCTGTTGCTTTTCTTTACTATTTCAAATCTTCAGATGTCTAAATCGGATTTCATTTTCATTCTCAAAACATACCCTGAATTCTATTCTTTTGAGTTAGCTCATAGTCATCCCTGTTGGGCATTCACAGTCTATTGAGCATTTACAGTCAAGTTTTGTCCTCAGCTCTGGTGTTTTTGTTACAGATGACCAGGAAGAGGAGGAAGAAGGCTTGGGAGCCGACCTCTCTTTCATTGGCTCTCATGCTTTTGCCCGAATGGAAGGAGATATTGATAAGCAGAGAAGATTGATCCTTCAGGGACAGTTATCAGAGGCAGCCCTACAGAAGCAGCATCAGAGAAAGTAAGGCAAACCCCTCTGGCCTGAAAGACACATAGGATCTGAGAAAGAAGGAAGGGCCTTCCACCTGCTAACTGATCCGTGTGTAATACATTCCAGTTTATTCCTCATGACTGTCCCGTGAGGATAATATTGTCCCTGTTTTGTGGTACAGAAATCCAAAGTTAATTTATCAGCGGTCACAGTTAGCATGTGTTGAAACCAGTGTTGAGATGCATGTCTGACTTCATAGTTCCTACTCTTTCTACGATAATTGTGGTGATGCTGGGTGAGGTTCTTTTGTAAAAGTGGAAACGGGGGAACGGGAATGGCAGACCTACAGAGTTTTTACCTGGCTTGACTATGTTTATAATTAAAACATAATCTACAGTTTTATTACATTTAAAAGGCTTTATTTCTCCTCAATTTATCCTCAGGACTCTATAAAGGCATTTTATTTCTTTCAGGGTTTTTTTTGTTTTGTTTTTTAAAGCAATTCTGAATAAATCCTCTTTGAAACAAAGAAAAGTAGTTTTTGTACTTCTGGGTAAGCTTTTCCAAGGACTGATAGTTCTTGGAAAGCTAGCTGTTTTTTTAAGAAAAAAATAGTTAAAGAAAAAAGTCATAAACTATACATGGTTAATATCATCCATTACCTTATGGATGACAGCTCATATGGTTGTGAACATTAAATAAGAAATGTCATGGGCTTAGCACAGCACCTGATACTTAGCAGGCTCTTAAAACTGGTCACTGCTATTGTCTTCAATACTGAGCAAATCGTCCTTTGCTACTTGCCATCCCTTTGGGCTGGAATACTCTCATCCTTCAATCCCTGCCCATTCTCCAGGTGTCAGCCCAGAAGGGACGGTTTCTGGAAACATACCTCGCTGGAGATAAGTTAGAACAGATGGAATAGAGTCTGGACTAGATACTGCCTCCTTATGCTTTTCAAACTCCAATTAACCAAAGCCTAACATAGCGTTTATCCACTATAGTTAATGATGTGTGGTGGTTGTCATTCTCCATCAGTAAAGTGGGAGTTGGACTAGGTCAGTGGCTGGCAAACTCATTAGTCAACAGAGCCAAATATCAACAGTACAATGAATGAAATTTCTTTGGAGAGCCACATTTTTTAAACTTAAACTTCTTCTAATGCCACTTCTTCAAAATAGACTCGTCCAGACCGTGGCATTTTGTGGAAGAGCCACACTCAAGGGGCCAAAGAGCCACATGTGGCTGGCGAGCCGCAGTTTGCCGACCACGGGACTAGGTGATCTCTAGAGTCCCTTAGAGTTAGAATTTTGTGTCTCCTGAGTTCCTGGTCTTCCCTTTATTCTGGTTTAATTTATATAAACAAAAGCACAGTAACCACTAGGGGTCACCAATAAACAGCCTTTTTCCAATCAGATGATTTCTAGGCCATGTGTAAGAATCATCTGGCAAACAGTTTTCTTTGGATATCCTCTTAGCCAGTGCCAAACTGCGGTCCCTGGGATCTGATATAGGGGGTATAGTACCACTACTGTGCTTGACCAATCATTAAAGAAGCCAGGACTTCACAGATAAAGTTACCTAGTTCCTTTGTGGTCCCACATAACATAACATGTACAACACACCCATTTTCCTTCTGCAAAGTAAACTGGAGGGCACTGACAGTGTCTTTTCACTATAGTATTCTCAGTCCCTATCATAGAGCAAATCTTTGTGGAATGAATAAACATCTATTTTGTAGAACTGCTATTGCTTTAGGCTTTCTCTTTGCTTTTATTTATATTTTTTGCAAAGGAGAGTAATAGTATTTAAAAACAGTGTTAGTTTGAGACTTGGTATCTGAGCTAATAATATGAGTAGTTTTCATTTGATCATAAAGGATTTCTTAAATATGTATGAACACCTTTTCTCAGTAACTCGTTTATGCTTTTTTTATCAATAATACATAGTACAGATTCTGCATAGTATAAAGGCAGCTCTTAACTCCTTCCTCATTATATTAATAATAAAACAGGGCAAGATAAAAACAACTGTTGAATTTAATTTATAAGGGTTTATTATTAATGATTATATCTTTTATTTCTCTAGTTATAATCGCTGGTTATGTCAAGCAAGATCTGAGGACCTATCGGATATTGCTTCTTTAAAAGCCTTATACCAAACAGGTGAGCTTCAGGATATGGCAACTTATTCTGTTACTAATTAAGGACTCTACCTGGCATGCAGTTCCAGACTTCATTTTTCTCTGTTGTCCATTGTCTATGAATAAAGTATTTTTGTACTAATGAAGATGGAACCTATGAAAATTTCAACTGGTAGTTGTATATCGGCCAACTTCATTTCTTCTTAATGTTCTGATTACATTTTCCCCGCTTTTAAAAGTACCATATAGTAGCTATACAAAATTCAAACCTTCTATAAATATACGAGTGGCTCTGTGCATGGGAGTAGCTCACTGCCTCTCCCTCCTGCTGATCAGCCATTACCATCACAGCATAACGACCTATTCCCTCTTTATTATATAGGATTAATATAATTGCATATTACCTCTTTATTATATAGGATAATGGAGACAGTGAAAGTTCTCAGTCTCCCATTCTTTCTCCATTGTATTTTTTACAGACAATACTTGAGTTCCATTTTGTTTTCCCGGGTTACTAATGTTTTTAAAAGTTATAAGTTTAAACAAAAAGCTATATATGAAAAGATCTCTGCCTGCCAGCTTACCTTTGATTGTCCTTAATTTAAAACCCCTAAGAGGCCTTATCTTAAAAGTAATAAGTCATTGAAACCTCCCAAAGGTAAACTAAAAAGTGTTCTCTAAGAAACCTGAAGATGGAATTTGAAAAACTTCTGTTCCTGGCTTTCAGTCTTTTACATATGAGTGGAGTATTTTTATAAGGTGGTACCCAGGACAGATCCCTCGGGAATAAAGTTTCTGGATATGTTTCCATTTCCTGTTTCTAGGTGTTGACAACTGCGGTCGCACGGTGATGGTGGTGGTTGGAAGAAACATCCCAGTCACACTAATAGATATGGACAAGGTAAGCCACGGAAAGGCTGTTGTACAAATAATGTTGATTTAAAAAGAAGAAGGGGAATTTGGAATCAGGGCTTAGAATGTGAGATGATTGTGTTTCCGGCAGAGTGGCAGCCCTGCGGTTCTGCAAATCTGCAGGTGTCATTGCAGTAAATTAGGGGTTTGGTTTTGCTCTGGGAGAAACAGAAATACTGGGGTGTCATAATGTGATCTCCAGAAACCCATATGTTTTGTTTGGGTGTCATGTAACGGGCATATTTTTTATTGGAATCTTTCTGTATTATCATTGTACTAATAAAGTCTGTCTGTCTTTTTTTTTTTTCTTTTTAAATTTATATTTTTATTGATTTTAGAGAGAAAGGATAGAGCAGAGGGGGGAAGAAAGGGGGAAAGAGAGAAACCTCAATTTGTGTAACACTCATTCTTTTCATTAATAGTATAATTGATGCCAATAAAAACATAGATCCTGCATTGATGTCCATGTACACTTCCCTGAGAGTCTACATATTGATGTATCATTTCATATAAAATACTGGGTTGTGTTGTAAGGTCAAACCAGGTAACAACTGGTAGCAACTGGATCCTAATCCAAGTTAAGCCAGTCATGGGAATGCCAAGGACCACCTGAGGAGGAATTGGGAAACAGCCTATTTCATAATAATCTTTCAGTTGTTATCTCTTAGCTTCCTCCTTGCCACAGTTTATAGCTCCACCACTGGGTCATACTGGTCCTGCCCATATTGTATGTCCGCTTTGTGTTTGTTTCTCTTACATTTTATCTTTCTTGTAATGGAATATTTCTCTAACGGATCTGGGTTACATTAAATTTGAGTCTTTCAGAGCTCTAGAAAAGCTGCCCAGCCCACGGCCATCTACTGGCTCAACCTGTTCTCATTTTCATCATTCAGGTCAACAGTAAAGGTGCTAAGAAAATTAGCCCTCTAAGTGAACCATGTGAGGCGTCACTTACAATATCCTTGTCAGTTATTATCAGTTATAAGAGAGCCATGTGCCTCTCTCTCGGTAGAGACGGCAAAGACTTTCATTGAGTTCAAGCAAAAACTTCAAGGATGATTGAAAGTCTAGAAATTTTACTGCTAATGATTTTGATGTCATTATCCTAGAGAGGGAAAATTGGTAGTTGACCTAAGAACTCTTTCGAGTAATAGGAAGAGTTATTAGAATAGAAGACTGGAAATTCTCCATCCCTTAGGACAAGAGAGAAAGGGATTGTATGGTAGCATTCATGAGGATGATTGAGCAGTGGCATGATTCACTCTCCGGGAGATCCTTCTAGAGAGAACTGATGCTCGTCAGAAATGTCCCTCTGCAATACCTGGGCATAGGCTAGCTTAATCTGGATTTTTCCTCTCTCTGTGCAAACGACTGCTGTGCAAAACGATCTTTACCTTTGCTCCTTGTTATCTTCTAGGCTCTTTTATACTTTATCCATGTAATGGACCACATCGCTGTGAAGGAATACGTATTAGTGTATTTTCACACCCTGACAAGCGAATACAATCACCTGGACTCTGACTTCCTGAAGAAACTCTACGATATCGTGGATGTCAAGTTAGTTATTTTTTGCTTATGAAAAGGGAAAGAGCCTCTTTCTTTCCTAATTGAAGCAGACATTACTGTGTATTATTAACAGTGTATTTCATGAACAAAGATTTTTGTCATTCAGAGTTCAGATATTTTAATAGTTGGAGTTGCTCCTTAACTCCAATTTACCGCATTTAAGTAAATTTATATGTAAACTTGAGCCTGCTTTTCAAACACCTTGGAAAATGTTTGGTGTCATGATCAACCTTTGTATATAAAATAACAAAAATGCTACCTTCTATTTATAAAACATTGTTTTATATATATTTACAAACATTGTTTTATTTGATCTAGTGACCCGTGAGTTTGTTAATTCATAATCTAATCCCAGAGATTCTAGTGTCATATTAAAAAAAACACATCTTATCATAAATTTGTTAAGTATGAATTTACTTCATCTTTCCTCTAGCTAGATAAATATAGATATATTTCAAATCTATATTTGAAAGACTGGAAAACATGGACTGAAAGATGAAGGACATTGCCCAAGGTCTAAATACAGAATTTGGACTTGAACCTTGGAGCCAGAAATTTTTTTTCATTAAACTATATTTCCCTTAAAGTGATAATAGGCATTTTAAACAGAATATATGCACTCCCCACTACAGCAAGGATAAAAATGTTCTGCTTTAAATTTTTTTCTCACTAATAGATTTCCTAAATAAAAATGCAATCCACCTTCTTGGTAGTTGTTTTATTACTGGCAGCGTCACAAAGTCTTTGTGGATTGCATTGAAAAATCTATATTGCAATTAGTGTACAAAGAAGCCAGATTACCATAAGTTTCCAACTGTCTCACCGCACCCCTTAAATCTCATTTTAATTCACAATGTTAAAGTTGTCATTACCTCACAGACACCTCGTTAACTTGCTCTGAATGTGTTTTATAAAGAAGTATCACTCCACAATACTAGTTAATTCTGCTTGTATCTCTAACCAACTCTAACTTTGAACAGGCCTCAACTGTGAATTGAAGAGTTTGTGCTATTTCTCTGAAGTCCTCTGCAATTAACCTGATACAATTAACAAGCTAAGCTGTTGAAATAATTTTAATTTAATAAATAATTGGGGAGGCTAGATAGAGTAATGGATAACAGAATGATTCTAGAGCCATACTGCCTGCATTGAACTTCTGGCTTTACCAGTTGATGGCTCGTAACTTTTGGAAAATGAAAATAGAGACACTGTTAGTACTCAGTTCATAGAATTGCTATGAGAATTAAGAATAAAGCCTTCGTACAATTTCTGGGACACAATCAACTTCCTAGAACTATTGTTGTAACATGATCATTGAAACTAGTTTTTATTTTTATTATAATTTTAAGTGGTTTTACTGTTGTTTGTAATAACCCAGTCCCAGAGATTTCAGGCTCATATGAAAAATAACATTGAATAAATGCTTGTTAAATATGAATTTCCTTTGTCCTAACTATATGGCTGTTACAGCCTAGAAAAACATATTATCTCCTATAAAATAGACACTTTAAATAATAAAATGTACTCTGAGTTGTTTTTGACATTTCACCTAAAATTTAATACATAAACCAGAGCTGTATAAAAACTTTTTTCCCCTCTGTGAATGAATATATATAACTCAGGCAAAGAGTTAATTGTCCATAATGGTGACTGGTTTGGGGCATGACTTATACTGACCCTTCTTTTTATTTTCAATCAGGTATAAGAGGAATTTGAAGGCTGTGTATTTTGTTCATCCAACATTTCGTTCAAAGGTACAGTATTTTTCCTGTTAGCCAAATCATGAATTTAAATGTACTGAATGCTAGCATATTAAGACATACATATGTCAGCATCCTAATTCTTGCTGTCGCACTATGGCTGCTAATTTCTTAGTTTACCCTTCCTTGTTAAGTGATCTTGAGCTGTGGTCCTGATGTTGGTCTCATTTAAGTCTAGTGTCTTTGTAGACAATCCTCACAAGCTATGACTTCCCCATCTTTTCTTCTTCTTGCTCTTTGTTCATCCAGATGTTGCTCATGTTGTTGATACAGAATTCACTTTCCTTCCTCTGCTCATGATAACTTACTTGTCCTCCAGATCTCAGCTCAACTTTGCATAGAAAACCTTCCCTGACCAATCCTGTACCTAGTAGGTACTCTTGCATTGTACCCCCTTGAGCCAGAAGTTGAGCATAGGCAGTATGGCTCCAGAATCATGCTCTTATTCACTACTCTATCTAGCCTCCTCAGGCGTGTCTGGGATTATTTCAACAGCTTGTTAATCACCATTGGGTCGCATAAGGTTAACTGGAGAGGACTTCAGAGAAATAGTACAAATTCTTCATTTCACAGTTGAGGCCTTTTCAAAATTAAAGAGTTGGTTAAAGGTAGAGGCAGAATTATAGTGGCGTGATGCTTCCTTATAAAACCCACATTCAGAGCAAGCTAAGGGGGTACATTTCATAGTCTTCTATCATGATTATGTTTTTAATTCAAATCATGTCTTATTTTCTGCCTTGTATGTTAGCCTCCAAGATGATGAGAATCTAGCCATCTGGCTCACAGCTCTATCCCTAATATGTGATCTTACATCTTGACTTCATCAAGACATCTAGTCCTTTGGTCCTTTTACTGAAACTGACATCTCCTTTTTGTCCTGATTCCCCCACGCCCCCCCCTTCAGCTAATACTCATGTTCCATCACTTCAGCCACTCTTGTCAGTGCCTACATAACCTATAACCTCTCACCCTTTCATCACACTTGCCCATTAATCTTGATCATTAATCATTCTGCTTTCATCACTCCCGTATCTGGGTTCCTGAGCACTGAGGGAGAAATCGGCAGAGCCACAGTATTTGGACTGCTGAGCACACTTGGGGCTTGATCTGCTCCAAGAGAAGAATAGAGAGTTAGAAAGATCGATAGAGAGAAACATCGATCAGCTGCCTCCTGCTGGGGATTGATCCTGTACCCAAGGTGCATGCCCTCGACAGGAATTGAACCTAGGATCCTTTAGTCTGCAGGCCGACGCTCTATTCACTGAGCCAAACCGGTTAGGGCTGGGAAATATTTTTGAGAGTCAATATCAAGTAAACTGAGCTTTAGCCCTAAATGTTCATGAATAAAATCAGAGAGCAAAGAGGACAATTGCAGACAGAGCCCTGGCATCAGGGAAGGAGACTGGGAAGTAAATCTAAAAATCAACAAGGAAACCAAGGTTTGCCTAATGCTGTGGGAGCCAGTGGATGGGAAAAGCATCAAAGACCATGGAAATGGTCTTTATTTTAGAGGATTGTGGAGAAATTAAGTAAGAGCAGTAGTGAAAAGTCCTCGTATTTCATGATTAAGAGATGAGTGAAGACTTCAGTGAGAGATGTTTCCCACTCCGGGATTTCTCATGGTTTACAGAATTCTTGTCGAGTTTCTCATCCAGATATAATTAAAACTTGCATGAAGTATTTTAAGTAATTATTTCAAAATTGCACATTTCCTTTTGGTCCCTCTGTGTTAGAACAGCACAATAAGTTCTAATTAATTGCTCATGGGAGCACTGCTTGTGAAGGACTTTTCCTTCTCTTCGTTCAGTTAAGTTTTAATTACATGCTTGACTATATTTCCCGAAGTCTCATCAGCCATTTATTTTTTGTTCATCTAGTAGCTACTAAAAGTTTTTCTTTAATATAGACAAACAGAAGGATTAGCTTGATCTTCAATATGTCTTTGCCAATAATGTCTGCTCTCCCCACTTCCATTCATTATTGTATTCAGTGTAATATGGCAAGGAATACAAAATCTATCTAGATTTAGAAAGGAATAAATAAAACGGTCTCGTTATTCATAGATGACATGATCATCTTTTTAGAAAACCCTATGGTACCCCAGAAATGCTATTAGAACTAATAAGTAAGTCTTATTAAGGTTTCAGGATTTACTATCATGATTCAAAAATTAATTATGATGATAGATACATGTCAAAACTTAACAAATTGTATGCTTTCAATTTGTGCAGTTTATCGTATGTCTACTTTTTCTTAATTGTTTTAAAAAATACTGTGTTGAGATACCACTAGATTGGCTAAAATTTAAAAGAATAATAATATCAAGTGGTCAATGATGTAGAGCAAGTGGAATTTGTGTACATTTTATGTGGGAAAGTGAAATTGTGCAACTGTTTTCAAAAAAGTTACATTTTTTCACCAACTAATTATATACCTAGTATGTGATCCAGCAATATCACTGCTGGATATTCAAGTGAAATGAAAACATACACACATAAAAAAGACTTCTATAAGAATAATTACAGCAGCTCTTGTTTTCAACAGCCCAGGTGTCCGTCAGTAGGATTAAAAATAATTAAGTCTGGTATATTCTTGTAATGGAATATTTCTTGGCAGTAAAAGAGAACATATCCCTGACACACACAGCAGCATGAAAGAATCTTAAACATTACACTGAGTGGAAGGAGCCTCACACAAAAGAGGCATACTGAGTGATTCTATTTATGTGGGATCTAGAGCTGACAAAGCTTATCCATGTTAGAAAAAATTAAAAGTGTTTGCCTCTGGGGAGAGGAGCCCTGTCTAGGGGCAGTGGTCGGCAAACTTATTAGTCAGCAAGGCCAAATATCAACAGTACAACGATTGAAATTTTTTTTGAGAGCCAAATTTTTAAAACTTAAACTTTTAACGCCACTTCTTCAAAATAGACTCACCCAGGTCATGGTATTTTGTGAAAGAGCCACACTCAAGGGGCCGAAGAGCCACATGTGGCTCGAGAGCTGCAGATTGTCGACCACAGGTCTAGGGTGATGGTGTGCCTTTGTCTAAAGAGTGAAAGTATGCTTAAAGTCTGTGCATTCCATTGAATGTAAATTTGAAGGGAAAGAAACTAAACAACTAGGAATGCCGTATTTCATACTTACGAAAATATGTAGCCACTGTTTGCTAAGATTTTTTTTTTAACCTTCACCCAAGGATATTTTTGCCATTGATTTTTTTTTTTTTTTTTTTTTTAGAGAGAGAGGGGAGGGGAGGAAGGGGGAGGGGAGAGAAAGAGAAAAAGAAACATCTATGGGAGAGAGAGACATATATTGGTTGCCTCCTGCACGCACCCCAACCAGGAATGGAAGCCAAGCCTGCAACCGAGGCATGTGCCCTTGACCAGAAATCGAATCCGAGATCCTTTGGTCCATAAGCCAATGCTCCAACCACTGAGCCAGACTGGCCAGGTCTGTTTGCTAAGATTTTACTTTAATCCTTCCACCCCAATACTAGAGAGTCAATAAATGTCAGTCCTTCATGTAACATCGATGGAGAGACGTTACCAGAAATTTCAGTAGTAGAGCCTTGGCTGTCTTGCCATTGGAATGGCTTCAGCTAGGAGGCAGGGTGAATGCAGGGTGGGCAGAGGCTGAGGACCAGATCTGTAAAGTGACAGCCATCTTGATGCCTCTCAGTAATATTTTGGGGAGATGAAGGAGTGAGAATAAAACCCATGTATAATGAAATCCACTCTTGTTTTATGCTAAGTCAAAAACTATAATTGGAGTGTTTCTCATTATAATATAATGAGATGGAATCAAGAGGGTAATAAAGCAATCGAGTCACGCTGTTCTGATTTCCATACTCCTCAGATTTTTTTCCAGGGCACTCCACCCAGAGTGATAAATTGGCTGCACATATAAATCACTACTCTTCTCCCTTTGAAACTTACTAATAGAATGCAAGCTAACAGAATTTAATCCCACCCTTGATTCTGGCTTCAGTGGATTACTGTGTACACCATGACTTGTGTGAACCATCTTTTCCTGGTTTATCTTGTGTGTGATCCTGTGTTCTTGGTTTTACGTCTGTAAAGAACTGGATGAAATGATCTCTAGCATTCACAAACCATCTCAGCAGTCCTTTTCAAATTTTTAATTTTCAGTTTCTTAAAATAGCAGATACTAAGGAGTTCAATTTATCCAACTATTGTAAATGTGTACTTATAACTTATAAATAAGCCAAGCTTTATAAAACTAAATTCTTGAGTCTCCCTGAACAGAAAACTTTCAACTGGGTTTCCGCTTCTGCCTACTTTGAGTAATTTTCCCTTGCTAATACCTGAAGGATGCGAAGGAGGAAATGGGGGAAAATCTTCTTTTAAAGATTGTACGATTCTTCCCCGACCCAATCTTCTCTCTGCATTTTCCACCCACCTCCATGTCTCCGTGGTGCAGCACATTCAAGAGTCCTTTCATAGACTTGTGTATTTAAGAATCATTTAAAATGATTGAGAGCTAACCTGCTCGATGTTATGGATTAGGGAACTGAGTTTCAGACTGAAGAACAGTTTATTTTTATAATTGTAGACAGACTTGTGTCACAATATACTACTCGCATAGGAGCATAGCGACGCAATGGAAACCAAGCTTCGAGGGACACAGCTCCTTACTACAATGCCTAGTAGTCAGCATGCTAGTGTGTCTCTTTCTTTAAATGCTGGTCACGATCATCTAAACCAGCGGTTCTCAAACTGTGGGTCACGGCCCCTTTGGCAGGTCAAACGACCCTTTCACAGGGGTCGCCTAAGACCATTGGAAAACACAGATATTTACATTACGATTCATTAACAGTAGCAAAATACAGTTATGAAGTAGCAATGAAAATAATTTTATGGTTGGGGGTCACCACAACATGAGGAACTATATGTATTAAAGGGTTGTGGCATTAAGAAGGTCGAGAACCACTGATCTGAAGGAATCACACCGTCACTGACAGACAACACTCTACATTTTGAAAAGCACTGCTTATTACAAGATGCTTCTGAGCTCAGTTTCCATTTTGAAATGCAGTTTTTATCTAGTATAAAATTCTCAAACTCATGTTTGTATCTCTAAGCTCTGGCCACTGGCTTAAATGATTTTCTCTTCTGTTAATCAGGTATCAACATGGTTTTTTACCACCTTTTCTGTCTCAGGACTGAAGGACAAAGTCCACCACGTGGACAGCCTCCACCAGCTGTTTTCTGCCATCTCACCAGAGCAGATCGACTTTCCTCCTTTTGTCCTTGAATATGATGCCAGGGTGAGTACCCGGAGTTCTCCCTGCCCTGCTGCGGCCTCCTTAGGGCAGGGCTTACAGGGACATCCGTCCATTGTAAGATGATATTAATGCAATGAGTGTGCTTTTATAAACTTGATTGTATGAGTGAACATTCTTAGTAATTTTCCTAAAATAGGACTTCTCCCCCAATAAACTTTTCAATGACAGATTTTTCTGCAATAATTTTGAAGCCAGTCCTGGGTTGTGTTGTGAATTTTTCTACCATCTTATCTTAAGATTTTCTGTACTTATCTTAAGATTGAAGGGCTATTCATCTCCATAAATAGAACCAGAAGAATCGATTGTTGTCCATTTTCAGTATTCATTGTAAATCAGATAGCCTGTCTTAGTCTTTACTAAAAGTTTCATTTTGCTTGGCCAGAAGATCTTAAGTCTCCTTATTGAATTGTTGCTGGTTACATATCTTTATGCATGAACCAAGGAAGATATTGGAAGGCTATATTAAGTTTGAAGTGAATTGTTCTTCCTTAATTATTGACCAACATGGATACAGGAAGATAAATATCCTGCAACACATTTTCTCTAACTTCTTTAACTTCCGCTACGATTTCTGTTTTTTATTTTAAGAGTAAAGTATTTCATATTTTCTGATGGCTAATAAAATCTTATGGTTGGCCAACATGGCTCAGTGGTTGAGCATCAAACTATGAGCTAGGAGTCAAATTTTGATTCCCGGTCAGGGCATGTGCTGGGATTGTGGGCTCGATCCCCAGTTTGGGGTGTGTGCAGGAGGCAGCTGATCAATGATTCTCTCCCATCGATATTTCTCTCTCTCCCTCTCCCTTCCTCTCTGGAATCAACATATATATATTTATATTTAAAAAAAAGAAAGACTGGGTAGATTTAATGCTCCTCACCCGCTGTCATGTAAATATACCATAGAGCAGTGCCGTTTTCTTTTTCTTTTTAAAATATATTTTATTGATTTTTTTACAACAAAGAAGGGAGAGAAATAGTTAGAAATGTCGATGAGAGAGAGAAAAACATCCATCAGCTGCCTCCTATGGTGACACCCTTCACTGGTGCCCACAACCAAAGTACATGCCCTTGACCAGAATCGAACATGGGACCCCTCAGTTCGCAGGCCAATGCTCTATCCACTGAGCCAAACCAGCTTTGGTGAGCACTGCCGTTTTCATCCTGCCCCTCACTTTCATTTCCAACTGCTATCTTACATTAATACTACACATTTTCTGTTTAAGGTTTCCTGAAAAATACGTTGTTTGTCAAAGAAATGCTTTCTTTAAAAATGAGAAGTGAATCTTCAATCTTATAAGTGGAATCTAGAGTCCATCTCCTATAAAGTTAACTGCTTTGATTTTTATTAAGATAAATTTAGCCAGAATGAGGTCAAGAAACTTCCTTGACATGGATGCGGTGCTTTCTATATTTGCCATTAAAGCTCTGGCATTTAATTCTCTATTTTGATCTTGAACTAAGCACCCTGAGACCTGTCATTGGTACAAGCCTGGATGTTCAGGCGTGGAATGGAGAAGACTCATTTCTGCCAAGAAAATTATGGTTATTAAATGCTTCAGCGATCATTCCTTTTGTTTTCTGACTCTATATTAAGATTCAGCGCACAGTAAGATAACACAGTCTTACAACAAAGAATCTGTGCGCTATGTTCTATTGGCCGTGGATTCAAACACGGGCTCTGCTGGTGACTAGCTAGGTGGCCTGTATGAGCCTCAGGTTCCTTTTCTGTAAAATGATGGTGTCACCTACTTCATAGCATTCTGGGAGGATGTAAAGGGATAAGGAAAGAAAAATGCTGATAACCTTTCTAGCATTTAGAATATTCAGTAAGTGGTCATGTTATTAAAACAATCATATCATCCTGCTCACCTCGTGCACCAACTCTTGTTACCAGGGAACTGCTCTGATGGCTTGTGCTAGACGTTTTGTATGTATTAAGTCGTTGACTCTAAATCCCTTTCTTTTAAGTTCCCAGTTAAAGGGATCTCTTATAATGTAGGGTTCTTGTCTTTCTTTCTTTCCACAGGAAAATGGGCCTTTCTATACATCGTATCCCCCATCACCAGACTTGTGACCTGCCATCTCCCAGCCCCAGTTTCAAGGACACCACCCTCTCCACGGATCACTCCCTGCTGAAGTGATAACTCATTTTTGTGTACAGATCCAGAGAGCCTTTTGTGCCCGCCTCTCTGGTATTTTTTTATTGACTGTATATTTTCTGGCACATACGCAATCTGAAAATGGTAGGCCATTCTGAATTGCACACTTATTTTAACTTTGTATATTTGTATCAAATGGAAATGTTCACTTGTAGAGGATTGTTCATAAGAAATCGGGGAGCAACTTTTGAGTATCTTCAGTTTCGTGAAAGGACCCTGGAATCTCCATTCGACAAGCCACCCATGTCACTCACATCCTCTCCTTAACATTGCACACTTCCTTTGTGTACTTGACCCTGTCTCAAAATACATAGAACCAGTATATGCTGACCGGATGCATTATTTGCTTCAGATCCTGGCATCACGTTTTATACAGATGAGGTGACTACGATAAAAGAGAATTGTCTGGGACCAAGGATTTGGAAATGATCTGATGAGAAACGACAACATCATTAGCTAAATATAGGTCTTGGAATTTTACTGCACCAGTTGAGATGAAGATTTAAGAACTGAAGTTCCTTGGAGCATATGGTTTGTTAAGATTGTTATGGTCCTAGCAGTGGGGGAAACAGGAAGGTGGTAGGTATCTTAGCCTTTTTCCTATAATCATGGTGATTCGGTCTCCTTATTCAAGAGGACCATGCATATTGGCTCCTGAAGTGGAGGGCATCTCCTGGACTCAGTCAGGGCGCCTTGGGAGATGTGCTATCTTCCCAGAGTCATGTTTGGCTCTTAGAATTGTCCCCTGTAAGGACCCTTCCTAGTTGCCCACATCAGTGTGGAGGGAGTGTGTGCATGGAACAAAATTCGAACTCACGTTTGTCTCTCAGGCTCTCCCTGTGCCTTAGCTTGCTTATGGGTAAAAGTAGAATTATGCTCCCTACCTCCCAGAGCTACCATGAGGGCAGCATGTAGAAAGGGCTTTGATATCTCTGGATGAAGAACGCTAGGGGAGTTTTGGGGGCAGGGTGTCTTCAGTTAGTTTTCTCAGTGATAACACATATGCTCGAGGGGGTGCTACAAGGCATTCCTCTTGTCCTTGGAATCTTTAGAGTGACTTTCTTTTTTGGGGGGACAAGAGCTGTTGGAGCAAAAATCTCAACCCTGAGGACCTCCTTCCTCTTCGTTCAGATTTCTTCTGGCCTCCTCCTCCCCCAGGGCTGCCCTTTAATGAGAGACATCTGCTAGACATGTTAAGCATTTCTTCTTCAATTAAGGTCACACCACTATCATTTCCATCTGGGTGTCTCCGTCCCCTCCACCTCCTTCACCCTGGCACGCCATTGGCATTTTGGAGAAGCAAGTATTGACAGCTTCTGGTCTGAAGTGCTCAGGATCGGTGCTTCCCAGGGTCAGTTCCCTTTGCCCAAATTAATTCGTCAGTGGAAACAAAAGAAACAACTTCTTCTTGTTTGTGATAGAGAAGTCCCCTTTGGTTGTTGTGTTAACTGCATCCCCGATGTTCCCATATAAATGAAACGGGGCTTTGCATTTCTAAAAAACGCGCACCTGTCTTCTGCGTGTAGTGGACACATTTGCTTTCCGTGGGAAATCAAAAGCACTGGTTCCTATGTATTGCTTGCTTGTTAAGGACTTCCTGATGACTTAGGTCAGGGGGTCCAGCGAGCCAGTCAGATGTCTGGTGTTAAGCTCCCTCTTGAATAGTAATCTCTTAACCCCATGAGCCTTGAGCCTTGAGACTCTGAAAAATTAACTTCATCTGTTCCAGGCAATTGTTAGGTCATGTGTGAGGCATCTTTTCCCTGGAGGCGGTTATAAAAATATGCCAACTTTTCTTGGTTAAAGCTGGGCTTGGCTCCTTCACACTGGCCCCTGGCCCAAATCATTTCCTCTGTAGATAACAGAGGCCGCAAGTTACTTCGCCATTTGAATGGTAATACATTTACATGTACAATTTCTTCTAGGCAATCATTTTGAAAGGATGTATACCAGTGATGTAAGCAGGAGTCTCCATAGACTGAGATTCTAGTTCAATTGATGTCCAAGAATAGAAAGATTGTATAGGACTATGTACATGTCAACCAAATTTCATAATTAAATGGTGACTAGAGCTAAGGGCTGCTCTTCTCAATGAAACCGAGTTTGGTGTGGGACCAAGATCGTGCTGTTATGCTGCCTGAAGTGTTACGTAATGAATGAACTTGTTTCTTCGTGTACTGAGATCCCAGGAGTGGAACACAGTGACCTCAATATTGAAACGATTAAGTAATGCTCAGAGTCTATCTGCCTCTGTGGAGCGGTGGATGCCTGGACAACACATGCCATGTTCAAGGACAGGCTTGAGGATGAAAGGGTGACTGGGTGGGGATGACCGCTAGCATCTGATATTAATTCGAAGCACCACCCAGTCCTTAATTCAATTAAATTGTAGTCATGCCAAATGTTTAGTTGAATTGAAGAAACAACTTACAAGACATTAAATTAATCCATTAATTAATTCATGCAAGGCATAATATGATTTTTAAAACAGGTATCTTTCTTGCTTCAGCATATATTTGAATTCTTCTGAACTCATCTATATCTAAGTTTCATGACAGCAAAATAACCTCTTATTTTAAAAAAATATATATATATTATTGATTTTTTTACAGAGAGGAAAGGAGAGAGATAGTTAGAAACATCAAGGAGAGAGAGAGATCGATCAGCTGCCTCCTGCACACCTCTCATTGGGAATGTGCCCGCAACCAAGGTACATGCTCTTACCGAAATCGAACCTGGGACCCTTGTGTTTGCAGGCCGACGCTCTATCCACTGAGCCAAACTGGTTATGGCCAAAAATAATCTCTTGAAAAAAGCTCAGTTTTTATTAGACTCTAGTGTTCAGAGGCCAAAGTGGTTCATATGTTAAAGATTTTGCTTTAATATATATCTTAGTTTATTGGCTGGTGCTCTATTTATTTATTTTTTATTTTTCTAAGCAATCCGTCTCCAGTAGTTTGAGAGTGGTCAACAGAGAATTTTCAGAATATTTTTGATAAGAAAAATGGATATAGATTTTTTTAATCAAATATCTGAAATCTAGAAGGATTAAAATATCTCCTATTTGTAGAGATGGATGAGTATAATCACTTTAGTAGACAAAAATATTTAGCTATTTCTATTTGTTTTCTATTTGTTCAGATATTGTTTAATGAATTCAAACTGTAGGTAATGGTTTAAACTTTTCTTTGCAACAGTTAATAGGAAAGTGATAAAGTGTAGCTTCAATATAAGCTAAAACCCACTTTTTTTTTGTTCCCTTGGTACAGTGTGTATGTATGTATATAGAATTTACATTGCCTACTATATGAACAAAAACTGTTAGATTTTGAAGTATTAGAAAGAAGAATTGGATGGTTCGAGGTGCAGTGGACGGATTGTATTAAGGGCCAAAAAGACTACCGCATATAAACCCCTAAGATTGGGATAAGCCAAGAAGTTTCTGATTGTGGTTCCCTTAAGCTATGGTCATTATCATTAATTTGCAGGAGAGTTTTTTAGCTGTTCTGACAATTTTGGTATAACCTCATGGTAGATGATTGATTCTTGGTTTGTGATTGCCTGAGCCCATGAAGAATCAAGGAAGGTTCTATCTGTAATCTAGGTCATATAAAAAAATAAAAAACTCAGAAATTATAAGGATTGCCTAGTAGACCTAACCATACACACACTTTCTTCCTTCCTTTTCTCTCTCCCTCCTTCTCTCTCCCCACAAGAACTTTTTAATTACATTTATTGGGATATTGGCTAATAAAATTATATAGGTTTCAAGTGTACAATCTGTAATACATTTCTGTATATTGCATTGTGTGCTTATCACCCAAGGTCAGTTCTCCTGCCCTCACCACATATTTGACCCCCTTCACCCTTTACTCTTTCTGGTAACCACCCTACTGTCTGAGTTTTTATTTTGTTTTCCTCATTTGTTTATTTGTTGCTTTCCTCATATGAGTGAAATCATGTGGTTTTATATCCCACCTATCAATGAAATCATGTGGTTCTTGACATTTTTTTTGTCTGACTTATCGCTTCATATGATATTCTCAAAATCTATCCATGCTGTCCCAAACGGCAGTATTTCATCTTTTCTATGGAGAGTAGTATTCCATTGTATATATGTACCGCATCTTCTTTACCCAGTCGTCTGTGAGAGGACATGCCAGTTGTTTCCATGTCTTGGCCCCTGTGAATAATGCTGCAATAAACATAGGGGTACATGTATCTTTACGAATAAATGTTTTCAAATTTTAATGTAGGTACCCAGAATATCTCCACAGAATTTTTAATGGTGGTTAGTAGGATCGGTGCTGTGGTTTCTCACATATCTGGGTTCAGACCTTGGGCATGCTTCTCAACCTTTTCTGAGCCTCGGTTTTCATATTTAGTAGGGATAATAATTCTCCTTGAATAATTAAGAGAGATGAATGCAATAATGTTCATGAAGCATGCATAGTGTTTATTTTTACTTTTTTATGCATAGTGTTTGTAAGTGGTAGTTATCATCACCTTTATTAGAAAAAATAACTAACACATGTGGTAAGGTCTTTATATCATTTTATATATTGAATAGTGAAATCAAAATTCAAGTCTCATGCTCATGCTCCAAAGCTCATGCTCTTATGAAAAATAATTATTAATAAAGACCATCAATATCAGTTGCTTATAAGTTTTTAGTCTTAAATCATATGTTCTCCATATTTATTATAAAATTAATGTTTCTGTGGAGGGGAAATGGCTAAGGTTCTTTTTAATAATTGTGTGAATGTGCTAATCACCAAATTGACACAAAATAAATACAAACTTTATTTACAAGTTGTATGCTAGGTGTGGTCAGTAAAGGGACAGTGGGGCCATGAGGCCAGCTTATCTATCATCTTGCACATTTATGATCTGTAACTAATGATAGCATGGAGTT